AGTTCCAGATGGTGGAAGGAAGTTAACATGCTCACCTTCTCTTCTTCCTAAATCTCCACTGAAATCGACCAGGAGGGGGACAATGGGGGAGGCTGCCTGCAGAGCGGACATCTGACCTGAAGGCAGTGCAGCTGGGAGAGCAGAGGTGGCAGGCGCCCAGGGCAGGGCAGGCTCCCCGGCTGCAGGGAGCACGCCTCTCCCTAGAGGCTGGTACACACCCGACAACCCAGTTTGGCACCCAGTGGGTCCAGGGGGAGGACGTGCCCTTTGAGAACCACTGGTCTGGGGATCAGCCCGCCAGGCATCCCCTCTCCGTGTCACCCAGGGCACAGCCCTGGACAGGTGCAAGGCAGCATCACCTTTCCCAGCAGGACAGCAGAGGCCCCTGAGGCAGGAAGCCCTGATCCTAAAGCCCTTCACAAACGCCCAAAGTCCCTCGTAAAAGCAAGCAGCTGCTTCCATTTTTATAAAACTGAATCAACCATCTCTCACCACCACTCTTCACTCACAATTCTTTGTCTGCATCGTTAGAACTGTTCAGCTGTGCTGAGCAAACTGATTGCAATACAGTGACGGCTCTTTAATTCATAAAAATCATCCGAGCATACAAAGACAGAAATGTCACACTATAAAAGTAGGTCTTCCTTAAAATTCTCTGTAGAAGCAAGAAAAGGAACCTCATGTTTGTTTCACAATCACAACAAGCACACTGAATTTCTCTGAGAAAGTGGCAGGCAAATTAAGGAAAAAAGAGAGGGAAGTGTTTAGGTTAATGGCTCTGTCTTACTTCCCAAAGTCCCCTAAATTCCTAGAACACTCTTCAGGGAGACCTCTGTGGCATCGTTGGCCCTGGTCAGGCAGGTTGATTAGACTCCCATTCATGATTCTCTGTACTATGGTTCTAGGAATGCTATTTGTAAAGAACTGAGCAGGTTCCAGGTGGGCAGGTGACTTAATCAGGCCCGTGTCACAGAACCTCGCACCCACTATCACCCACCTGCCACTTGTTTATTCATTTATTTATTTTTGGTCAAAGCGTTTTGTTTTAGGATCGTCAGAAAATATCCAGGAAAGAATCTGACCAAACTGGAAAAGTATTTGCTTCTATTTTGGGGGGCTGGGGTATTATTGTGCTCTTGAATTCCATCAGCTTTACAAGTCACCCTTTCCACACATCTTCTCCCACTTATTTCTGGAGATAAGGGCCCTGGGCAGTAAAACTAACTCTGTTCAAAGCCCACGGCATGAATGGAGAGCTGTCCTCCTGAGTGCCGACTGCAGACAGGAGGGCCTTTGCGTCCTGGATCTTGTTGCTCACGGTGGGACCACAGCGCCCTCTCACGGCGCCACGCTGCTCATTCCACTCCAGGCACAAACCCCTTCAGGTCTCCATCAATACCGTAAATTTGTGAGTTACGCCGTCACATCCTCTCTTATAAAAACAAAGTAAGCAATGTGACCAAGTATTCTCAGGGGGGTGGGGTGGGGGATTACAGCCTGAAGTGTCACCTCCAGGCTGATTTGTGCTCGGAAGGAAAAGCTGGGGCCTCCCTAGGAGGTGCATGGGGACAAGATGACCGTTAAGGTCACTAGCCACGCTGCTCTACGCCCTCCGCACCGCCCGCTCCTCGGGCCCCCGAGTCACGTGAGCGGCTGCAGGAACAGAGGGCCAGGCCCGGGCCAGGCTGCCTGCCGCGTGCGGGACCCAGCCAGGTTGCCAGGACCCCTGTGCCTCCTGGGTGCACAGACTGACGCCAGCCTAAAGCCCCACCCAACTACAGGTTCAAGTGTTTACCTACCTTTGTGCGTGCGTGCGTGCGTGCGTGTGTGTGTGTGTGTGTGTGTGTGTGTGTGTGTGTGTGTTTTGTTTTGTTTTTTTGTGTGTGTGGTACGCAGGCCTCTCACTGTTGTGGCCTCTCCCGTTGCAGAGCACGGGCTCCGGACGCGCAGGCTCAGCGGCCATGGCTCACGGGCCCAGCTGCTCCGCGGCATGTGGGATCATCCCGGACCGGGGCACAAACCCGTGTCCCCTGCATCGGCAGGCGGACTCTCAACCACTGCGCCACCAGGGAAGCCCGTGTGTGTGTGTTTTTGATAAAACTCTACAACCATGTTCTGCCCGGGGACCAAAAACTAAATTTAACCACAGCTTAAAATTGTTTCACCCTCTGAGAGTGACGCAGCACAACAGGCAAGCTCAGGCCTGTGTATTAAATTCAGGACCGGATGCTGACATGTAAGCTCCATGCATCCTCGTGGGCAAGGAACGGCAGCCAGCAGCCAATGTCAGGTGCCACCTACCCTCCACCAATTAAGAACACCTCAAACTGTTGAGGTTAAAAAACGTTTTGAATCCAGTGACAAATTCTATTCACTAGGCAAATATACCCCCCAAACTGCATCTGCAGACCTGCTCTCTCTCCCCTACCCCCTTTCACTCCGCAACCCTCCCCGAGCCCATCGTTTGTGGGAAACGCTCACCAGTCTCACTGCCACCCACAGGAAGCAGAATCCAACCACTGGCCACCCCCTTGCTCACCGACCTCGCAGCCTCAAGCAGCTCAGGGGCCAGCTGCCTGCCTTCCTGCCTCCCTGACTCGGGCAAGGTAGCACGAGCCGAGGTGCTTGGCCACCACCTCCTGCCCTGCCTGGCGTTTCTCCCTCCCCCCTCCCCCACGCATCTTCAAATTATCCGACCTGCCAAGTGAGGGAGGCTATCTTCCTCCCCAGGTGACCATGCGCTTTAAATAACCTGCAAACTCAATCAGCTTCCTAGCTTGTGTCCCCACCTTGCCCAAACTCGACTTCCGCCTGTAAAGGATCCCTGCCACCTCCACTTGGATGTCTCACGTCCCAGACACACGCCTAGGACGTGTGACTCCTACCACCAATCCCGGAGCTCCTGTCCCCAAGCCCAGGTGCCGTGGGAACCCTGATTCCCATCTCCCCATCACCCCCAGTTCACGAACTCAGCATTGATCCCATCTCCATGACCCGTGTGGCATCCATCCACCCCGATGGTCTGCACGGCCACCAGCGTCAACCCCCAGCCTCCTGACACGTCTGCTTCCCGCCCCACCCTTCTCCTGCCCTGCGTCACAGCACAGCACCGTGAACCATGACACCTGCTCCAATCTCCCCAGGAACGTGACCGAGCCCAGGGCCGCCCAGGTCCCAGTGACTGGCAGTTACCTGTGTCACTGAACAAAGGACGCTCGCCCACTTACACAGTATGTTCTGGCCATACCGGCCTCCTGCCCACACACGGCAGGCTCTTCCCCTCTCAGAGCCGGCGCACCTGTCTGGGAGGGACGCATTCCACGGTCCCCTCCTTTCAAGGTGGGCTCCCTTCTCTCGGGTCCGAGCTCACGTGTCGTTACTTCCTTGGAGGGACCCTCCTTGACTAACAGAGGAGTCTCCCTGCTATTCTTCTGCAGATCGCTACATCTCCCTCACCACACTTAAACCCCAAATTTGGACTGCTGATTTATTGGGGTGACTGTGTAGGGTTCTACCAACAGTTCACAGGCCTTTGAGAACCTGGCCGTGACTTTCTTCACCAGCTCCTCCCAGCAAGGCCCTGGCACAGAGCACAGGCCCAAGAGACAGAGGTAGAAAGAGGGAACACACCAACAAAAAGCATCCAAAGGGCAAGGCAGAGTTGTTTACAAATCTCAGTTTGTTATAATTACTTAAAAAACAGGAGGAAGAAGTAACAAAATACTTGTCAAATGTGATTTTTAAAGGGTAGCAACTGTAGCTAAACAAAGACATCCAACCAGCACTTATCTGGTATCTGCTCTCACTAAGAGCACCTGGGAGAGCACCCAAACCCGATTACATCCGGGCAATCCACCACGCCTCCGTCCAGGAGGGAGGTCCCTCTGGCAGGCCGCTCTCCTCTGTCTTTGGTTGGCACTGACTATTTGGTTCATCGTTGGTTGGAGCAGAAGTAAGGCCAAGTGTCACTTTTTACTGATCAGGACAATCGTGTGCATGGCTTACTTTTATTTTTTATTATAAAAAACACATACAAGAGTTTTAAGAAATGATGAATATAAGACAAATCAGGACCACGGTGAGTTATTAAACCCATTTTCTATGTACAAATACTAAAATTCCGAAAGTGGAATATCATCAAATGTGAGACACATTATAGGCTGTCCATATATACACGGCACATGCAGAGACCTGCCCGCACTTGGCTGCGTCTGTATGTACACAGCGAGGTACAAACACCCGCGGTGACCTCTATCCTCAGCTCTCCTTTTCCTGATACATAGTTAAATATTTGCAAGGAACTTTAGAGATCTGAAGAAATGCATTAAAGGAAGTTCTAAAGGCTCTCCCTGTTTATTTACTCTGGTCAGCTACACTCTATACCTTGAGAGGAGCTCTGTAGCCCAACTCCAGCTAAGACAGTGGAAGAGTCTTCGAGGAGCACTGTTTTAGCCTCCTCATCTTTTCCTAGTCAGTCATTTGGGCGCAAAGTCCAAAATTGGCTCAGGAACCAAATCAATGTTTTTACATTAAATTCATTACAAAATGCCACTCAATTTTTAAAAGCGACTAAAAGGACACTTTCTGCAGCAAAAAAGGGCTAAGTTCAAGTTTTTGTTGTTTGACCAAGACACAACAAATTACAATCCATGTCATGTGATCACAGCAGCCATAAGTGAAATGGGTGCGGTTTAGGGAAAGCAGCCACTGCTTCCTTCTCCGCCCCCAGCACTTGTATCTCCCTGACGTCTCTCTCTGGAACCTCGGTTTGCACCCTGGAAGCTGACTGATCTATCTCCACTCGAGCAACGGGAAGGCACTTCTCCGGGCACAGCACGGGGCAGTCAGCCACAATCCTCCGTACACAGAGCGCTGACCTCCTCTAGGGAGCTAAGCACTGCGGAGGGGACGCGGTGAGAGGTCTCTGTGCGCCAGGCTTCCAGGATCTTGGAGATCTCCGCTGGGTTGCTGGGACTTAAGTCACACAGAGCGTACACGGCTGCCAGCTGGATACCCCATGGTATGTCTGAAAAGAATTTCCACATCAGTCATCACACAAGAAAATCTTCGTTATGCAAAATGTTAATGATCTAATAAAATACTATTCAACAAATACTTTCTTCCAGCAATGAAAAGTAAATATTAAAAAAAAAAAAAAACACAATGAAAAAATTCATTTAAATCCCTTCTGCAAATGGAAAACAAAAACAAAGCAGAACACTGCACAGCTCTCTACAGGTTCCTGGCGCTGCCTGTACCCCGAGGACGACGAGCCGGAGTAGGGGCACGGGACCTGAGGCGCCTGCCCTCTCATGATCAGTGCTAAGCTTTCCAAAGTGGTCCTGGAAGGATCACACCCTCATGTTTAAGTTTTAGTAAAATGTGGACCCCAAAGCATTTGTCAAATAAATGACTCCATTATACCCCCGGAAGTGTTTATAAGTGGACTTTGGAAATGAAAAACATGATGAAATGAGAGCAAGTGAAAAACTAATTTTTAGTATGTAGTATAGCATATACAATACTCTTACACACTAGATTATAGTATATGACTATTGATCATGGCATTTAATTGTAGACTATAGCTAGGTTAGAGATTATGGTGTATTAGAGTTCTCATTCAGTATAAGTTTATTTAGGAGTTATTTAATTCAAATTTAATTTAGTTCAATTTTAGTTAAATTCACTTCAATCATTTAGTTAAAAAATTTAGGAGTTATTTCATTAAAGCTTATTATTAACTATACACTGTTAGTGATGCAATGCCCAATAGGGAAAACTACTACTATTTAAAAATAAATATCACAAAACCCACACATTCAAATGTTAATGCTGTAGATGTAGATAGTACTACAGCAGCTTTAAAATTACATTCCCTGGGCTTCCCCGGTGGTGCAGTGGTTAACAATACACCTGCTGATGCAGGGGACAAGGGTTCGATCCCTGGTCTGGGAAGATCCCACATGCTGCAGAGCTACTAAGCCCGTGAGCCACAACTACTGAGCCTGTGCTCTAGAGCTCGCGAGTCACAACTACTGAGCCCCCGAGACACAGCTACTGAAGCCCGCGCACCTAGAGCCCGTGCGCCGCAACAAGAGAAGTCACCACAATGAGAAGCCCGCGCACCACAAAGAAGAGTAGCCCACGCACCACAAGGAAGAGTAGCCCCCGCTCGCCACAACTAGAGAAAGCCCGCGCACAGCAATGAAGCCCCAACGCAGCCAAAAAAAAAAAAAAATTTTAAATTTAAAAAATATGTTCCCCTTATCTACATGGTAATTAGAGAAGCATAGACAAGGGCACATAGTAAAGACTTAAAGTCAAACAGTTAGAGTTTTACACAGGGATTTAAAAATAATTATAAGACCATGTGCACTGTGTAGGCTCTGGACTCGGGCAGCCTGGCTGTGACCTGGTGGAGCTAACCAGTGCCAGGCCTCCAGCAAAGTATGCTTCTTGCAGGGCGTTAACTTCCTGTGCATAGAACAAAGTCAACGTTCAAGCCCTGGAGGGCCAGCCCCAGAAGGTCACCTTGGGGACCCCGTGCTGCTCTGTGGGACAGGGCCTAACCCAGAGCAAGCCCAGTGCAAGGCCCTCTCGCTCCTCCCAGCAGGAGGGCCACACTGTTGCCAGGAAATGTCCACCCGGCATCTGTGGCGAGACAACCCGTCGGCCACTCCCTGGCTACTCCCTGATGACAACACACAGTCTAGACGGTAAGAGTACATTTTCAGGGCCGTTACCTCAGCAGCTATTCTAAAATCAAAGAAGACAAAAGTTCTCATTAGCTCAACCTGCCATGCCTCACCCTGAAAGCAGAAGACAACCTACACGTTAAGATCCTCTCGGATGTAAATTTCAGATGTCACCGTGTGTTTCCGATGGAAATTGTGTAACTGCATTACTCCTTTTTTTTGTTTTAATTTTTTTTTAATTGGAGTAAAATCGCTTTACAATGTTGTGTTAGTTTCTGCTGTACAATGAAGTGAGTCAGCCATATGCATACATGTATCCCCTCCCTCCTGGACCTCCCTCCCACCCCCTCATTACACCCATCTAGGTCATCACAGAGCACCAAGCTGAGCTTCCTATGCTTTACAGCATGTTCCCACTAGCTATTTTATACATGGTAGTGTATATGTCTTTCCTAATCTCCCAATTTGTCCCACCCTCTCCTTCCCCCCATGTCCACATGTCTGTTCTCTACGTCTGCGTCTCTATTCCTGCCCTGCAAATAGGTTCATCTGTACCATTCTTCTGGATTCCGCATATATGCATTAATATATGACATTTGTTTTTCTCCTTCTGACTTACTTCACTCTGTATGACAGACTCTAGGTCCATCTACATCTCTACAAACGACCCATTTTCATTCGTTTTTATGACTAATATTCCATTGTATACATATACATGTACCACATCTTCTTTATCCATTCGTCTGTCGTTGGACATTTACGATGTTCCATGTCCTGGCTATTGTAAATAGTGCTGCAGTGAACACTGGAGTGCATGTGTCTTTTTTTTTTTTTTTTGCATGTGTCTTTTTGAATTATGGTTTTCTCAGGGTATATGCCCAATAGTGGGATTGCTGGGTTGTATGGTAGTTCTATTTTGAGTTTTTTAAGGAACCTCCATACTGTTCTCCACAGTGGCTGTATCAATTTACATTCCCACCAAAGAGTGCAAAAGGGCTCCCTTTTCTCCACACCCCCTCCAGCATTTACTGTTTGTAGATTTTTTGATGATGGCCACTCTGATCAGTGTGAGGTGATAACCTCATTGTAGTTTTGATTTGCATTTCTCAAACAGTTAGTGATGTTGAGCATCCTTTCATGTGCCCCTTGGTCATCTGTATGTCCTCCTTGGAGAGATGTCTATTTAGGTCTTCTGCCCATTTTTTGATTGGGTTGTTTGTGTTTTTGATATTGAGCTGCATGAGCTGTTTGTATATTTTGGAGATTAATCCTTTGTCAGTTGCTTCATTTGCAAATATTTTCTCCCATTCTGAGGGCTGTTTTTTTGTCTTGTTTATGGTTTCCTTTGCTGTGAAAAAGTTTTTAAGTTTCATTAGGTCCCATTTATTTGGTTTTGTTTTTATTTTCATTACTCCAGGAGGTGGGTCAAAAAAGATCTTGCTGTGGTTTATGTTTATGTCAAAGAGTGTTTTTCCTATATTTTCCTCTAACAGTTTTATAGTGTCTGGTCTTACATTTAGAACAAAAAAATTTACAATTTGCATGGGAACACAAAAGACCGTGAAAGCTAAAGCAATCTTGAGAAAAAAATGGAGCTGGAGGAATCAGGTTCCCCGACTTCAGACTCTGCAACCAAAGCTACAGTAATCAAGACAATATGGTACTGGCACAAAAACAGAAATACAGATCAATGGAACAGGACAGAAAGCCCAGAGATAAACCCACGCACGTATGGTCACCTAATTTCTGAAAAAGGATGCATTACTCCTTGATTGCATAACATTCAAATAAAAACGAGACTCATCACTTCAAAGGGTTACTTTTGAGTTTTAATCTCTTCCCACAAAGGAATAAGAATATAAAATTACATGCTCTGAGGTATACAAATGAAAAGGAAACCACTGCTATGAAGACTGGCTCACAAAAAGCCTCCAGTTTCCAAGTTCTCTGGGGATGCTAAGTACTCAGTGATACCCAGGCCACACTGGGGTCGCTGCTTCACACGTGTGACCGCACTTGGTCTTCACGACACAACTCCAGCCAGGCCTCTGCAGGCAGCTGAGGCTGAGTCACTGGTCGGAGGTCACAGGACAGCATGAAGATAGTACCGACAGTTTCTGAGACAGAACGTCAGCACCAGGACAATAAGAGAGTTTCCTCTTCCTTAGGGATGCGCTGCCCAACAGGGCGAGCCGCTACCACTGAAACAACAGGAAACCCACACACATTCAAATGCCAGTGCTGAGAACGCAGGCAGAGTGTGGCTTCGTGATCAAACTCCTCACCCCCAAGCACTGAGAGATGCACAGAGCATGGCACGTAGTAAGAACTCAAAACAGATTTAATAAGAGGAATGCAAATGATTTAAAAATAATGATAATAAACAAAAGTTTTACCTTCATCCTGGGCATGCTGTATAAACATACCAATAACTGCACTAATGTTTTTCACAGCTGATGGAAACCCTTCCTTCAAACCCAACTGGCCTAAACGACCTAGGGGGGAAAAAAAAAACAAAACAAAATGTAAACAATCTGTGGTTAAATGTTAACTTTTCATAAGAATTTAAAACTTACGTTTTCTTTCGTTTAGCATGTACATTAAGCTTCAGGATCCTGAACTGAAGTTAGATGGGTACCTATTCTTAAATGAAAACAAATTAAACAGTAAAGCATCAGGACTCAATACAGCACCATCCGTCCCGGGGTGGGGGGCTGTTCTGACTGAATGATTCGTCATCTCTTCTGTCACTCACACATACAGATGATACACAGATACACAATGTGTTGCTTCCCCAGTTATCATGTAATAAATGGAATTTAGCAGAATGAATGGTTTTAGCAGGCTCAGTGTGAAATGACTAACTTCTGTGGGTTAACGGACTAAATATAAGACACAGTTTGCTGTTACAATGTAGTTGGCTAACACAACCTCCGTCCTCACGTAGAGCAGCCGCTCCCAAGTGTGCTCTACTAAACCCCCGGGGTCCTCAAGGTCAAAACTTTGCTTTCCCAACGACACTAAGAAGTGATGCGCTTTCCTTCCAGTGCTGAGATGTGGCCTGACAGTGCAAAGGCAGTGGCGATCAAACTAGTGGACCCTCAGCACCAGTCAGGGCAGTGACATGGGGGTCACTCTCCATGGCCAGGAGCTCACAGTCGGAAAAGCTAACTCATTCAGAATGTCCTTCATGAAACGGTAACAATGATTCTTATGAAATCCAGACCCCTAAGCACACGGCTCTGCGATCTTCCACGGATGGGACAGGAAGGGCACGTGAAGCACACCCCTGGCACCTCGGCACCCCGACTCTCTCCAGGAAAAGCACCTGTGCAGCTGCTTCAGCTGGGAGGGGAACTGGGTGCTTTCTCCACCCACTTTTCACTCAAAGAACCACTGACAAACTATGGCTATTTAGACCGAGACAGACATTTTCTCAAAAATGAGAAAAGTGAACCAGTCACTGCAAGGAAATCATTGTTGTCAATGATAAAATTTGAGCTCTTAAGCAAAATTAGAATTTTGGAAAAACTTCCATCACCTACCCTAAGCTTGACAGCTTCAAATACTTCAGATTTCTCTGATGAGATCAGTGATGATATTAATGTCTGTTTTCTTGATATTGTTGACATATGGAAGATCTGTACAGATCAGTATTTTCCAAGTGAGCAGTACATGTTACAAAATCATGAATGGGCAAAAGATCCCTTCAACAAGTCAGGTGGACCAAGGGACTCTGGTGCAACAGAGAAGCGAAGTTCACTGATGAGGTTTCAGATTTCACACTGCAACTAACCTTTAAGAAATCATCACTTGTTGAGTTGCACTGCAGTGTCAAAGAAGAATATCCACATTTACTTGAACGGGCTATTAAAACACTCCTTTAATCAACTACACATCTGTATGAGACTGGACTTTCTCCAAATACTTCAACCAAAACAACATACAGCCAGAGACTGAATGCAGAGCAGCTATGGGAAACCAGCCCTTCTATGAATCTAGATAGTCAAGAGGTTTGCAGTAAGATAATGTTCCATTCTGCTCACTCTTATTTTTGTTTGTTTTGGAAATAGTTATTTTTCATTAAAAATATCACTTATATTAACATTAGTTTATTACTATTAATCTTAAGTGAATAGTAACATTTTTTTAAACTCCTAGTTTTAATTTCTAGTACAATAATTGACACATAAAACCTGGAGTGACAAAACCTCTTTGGGGGTCTCACTAGGGGACTAAACAGGACAACACTCCTCGCCTAGTCCCCACCCATCTGGACCCTCCTTTATTCCAATGGTCCTGTGGAAACCAGCTTGCTTCAAAGCGGAAGCCTCTGCACCTCCCTCATGGCCAGGCCTCATGCCCTTTTGCCCCGGCTGTTACAGAGGAGGAGGATTCTGAGACATACCTTGGATGCCGTCTTACCCAAGTCCTCTTCCTGTGCTCTTATGACAACATTATCCTGCATGCTCACTGTTCTGTGTCCATGTTCTCTCAATAGTACAAACAGCCCACAGGCTTAGATGTGACCCAGTCCATCAGCCTCATCTCTGTGTTGAATATGGAGAAACTGAGGCACGGGACACTAAAGGGACTTTATTACTTTGTATCCCCTATAGGAACTAGCTTAGCGCTAGTTACACGCACCCTAAATGCTGTGATAGACAGCAGACATTCAGTAAATTCCTACTGATCAATGACTCCCCGGTTAATTCCTAATCCAGGAGGAAACTGTAAACATATGGATAATCCCTTAGGAAGTCTTTCACAGGTTGAAAAGTAATGTACTTCAGAGATCAGAAATTTCAAGGTACTGAGCACTCTTAGATATCTCCTTGCAATTAGATCAAGGTTCTAATAACTGCATGTCACCAGACCTGTCCTCTGAGACAATCTATCGAGAGCATTCAATGCATGACTATTAGCAGAGAAAGGGACAGTGTGCGTGCCTAGCACAGCTATGGGATCATTTGGCCATGGGATATGCATGTGTTTCCAGATAATACACGACTGCATTATAATGACTCCCTTTCTTTTAATTAAAAATGCTTAATGAAGTGTGTTTTATAAAGCTTTATTTAAGTTAACGGAGCAAATCAGAGATAAAGTAAGAGGAAATCATGAGTCTGAGGTATATGGTTTGGGGGAAAAGGTTTACATATGTGATGACTTGACAAAGATGATGGACAAATTTGCTAAATAGACGTGAAGAAAAGTCCCTCTACAGAAGGAAGGTGAGCGAGTCCAGGGCAGTTCAGCCAACATATGAAAATTCAAGTAAGAAATGTGGAGTCAATCTCAGTGCCAAAGACAACACACTCCCCACTCACGGAAGCCTGAAGAGGAGAGCCTGCCGGCCTTAGGGTAGGTGAGACCCAGTCTATAGGGCAGGGATCAGAGAAAGATAGTTACCCAGGGTTTTCAGTCAAGATTTCAGATGCAGGTATATTAAGGAAAGGATGAGTTAAGACAATTGCAAAGAAAACCTGAAAGACAAGGTGAGACACTGGACAGAAATCAACCAAGTACTGGCTATCGCAGCCTGACGTGCAAAAACCTGACATGAGAAACAGTGTTATCCTAGCTTCTAGGCTCTCCTAACACCAGATGGGCCACTTCAGAATTTAAAGCTCTTTGGGGGCAAAATGGGGTATTCTATACCTTTATGCTCCGCTGCGTCTAGTGGCATGCAGACTTCCGTCCCCACTCTGCTCCCTTCCCACCCAGGGACCTCAGACAGGGGCTCACCGCCCCCCTACCTCCTGCCCCCCCGAAGAGGCCCCGACCCCGCCAGGACACGAGCCGCCTGGAGTAGGCTCTCCCCGTCCTCCACGTCCCCAGGGGTCCAGAGCGATCCAAATGTTCCACAAAACGCTCTTTAATCCATTATTGTTAAGGTAGGTTAGAGAAACCCCATTTAATAATCACATGTAACCACTTCATTTGCTAACGGCGGTGTTCATACCCCAATCCAACATTAGATAACACTGAGCCATTTTGCCAGACAGCCTGTTTTTATTTCCCATGGGGTAAAAATCCAATTAGGATTTACAAATCTGGAGTTAAGAATACAGACAATTCCTTTATTTTATGAATGCCTACTGTGTGACTTCATTTATCATTAAGAAATCACAGTCAACCAAGTTAATTATTTGCTAAATTCTTTAGTAAATGTCAGCTTCAGAAACTGCAAGAAGCTTCTCCAGCAGAGTTTCTTCTTAGAAACGGTTCAAACTCCAACTCAGACGGGTGTGCGGGAAGGAAAGCACACACCCACCCCTAAAGCTGCCTCTCAGGATTCCGCCCTGCTTCCACCCTCCCCCTCGGCCCACCCCTGCTCGCCGGGACCCCAGCCCCTGCTTTGCTCGGGGTGGTGGTGGTGGGGGGAGCCTTCAGCGCCAACAGACTCCCAGCAAAGCTCAGCCCCGGTTCTCCGGGAACAGCCCAGTGGCCCCTCTCGCCCTCCCCACACCAGGTTTTTCACTCACTCACACAAGCTCGTCCTGCCCTGGTCCACCCGCAGACCTCAGCAGGGTTTGCCAGTCCTGAGACTGCTCTCATTTTTGAAATTACACTTCCTTTCTAATTAGCCATCCTCTCAACTAAATTTATTTACTTATATATTATAATTTTATTATGCAGTATTGTTAACTATATGTTAATTATACATTATTCCTATGACACACATCATTGTATTATACCACTAATTATGTAAATATACATATATTACTCTAAATAATATATATTATCAAATGTTATAAATTATTTTCCCAAAAGCTATATTTTAAAGACTTAAAGAATAAATTAGTCTGAGTTTGACTAAAACTACCAGTCAGGTTTTCTCCCTACAATTATACATCCTTGTTTTTAGACAAACTATGACCATATTCTTCTTAATTCACAAATGAGTTACTTTTTAAGGTACATATTCAAAAGTATTTCTATAAACTTGTGCGGGTTTGTCTGGAGCCTGAGAATTTGTAATTTTAAAAAAGCTTTTCAGGCAGTCTGGACAATCAACCAAAGCTGATAAGAGCTAACTGAGGAGGAGAATGACATGTGAGGCCGACCCTCCATCACAGATGCTTCTCAGAGCAGGATGGGGTCAACCACCAGAAACACATCCTCCCACTCTCACTTTCCATCCTGTTACAATCAATAAATACACAAAGAAACAACCACTGCAATGATAACAGCAAAAATCACACCATATTTTATAAGTGTGACTTCAGAAGTATATTCTTCAGCAAATTTCACAGATTCTTCATCTAGGTCAACATGTAAGCATTTACAGACCTAACACCTTTCCTAATTTCTTAAATTCTCAAAAAGCATTCTCAATTTGGAATGAATTAGTTCAAAGTATGAACACATTCTTTCTTGAATCCATAAGAGAAGCTGCTACCCAAACCAGAATTTCCAGACACACACATGCCACCAGCTGACGGCTGAAAATGAGGTCACTGGCCCTTCTGTGTCCTTGCTGCTCCCACTTGGGACAGACAATGGTCCTCAGAGCACTGGACCTGAGGCATTCAAGGAAGTCCCCCACTGAGCAGTTTAGTCATCTCCACTTCCACATTTTCATGCTTTCATGTTCTGTATCTTAACTGCAAGTGTATGTTAGGTTATTTCCAGTGAAAACTGTTAGATGTACACCTTGAAACCAGGTTTTTGTCAAGACCCAGTTTATATATTTATTTGCTACAATGTTCCTATGTTTGCATGTAAAATGTGCACAGTGCAGGAATGCAGATACAGCTAACAAAATTAGTCAGGGATATTATATTTCTTACTGTGGTCTATTTATAAGACTGACTTACGTGATTTAAAAATTCTCAAACCTATTTCAAATGGTTTTATCTTGGAGTTTTAATTAATTAAACACCAAAGATACTTAAAAGTCATGATAACTATCTCCAAGGATCTAAAGGGCCCTGACACAGAAATAGGCTGAACCTTGTTTTGTCAGCCCCCAAGCAATCAATACACGGCAGATAGAGGAGTCACTTCAAAGTAAAGAGAGCCTTCTGATAATGAACAGACCTCATCACTGATAATGATGCCTGGACTAGAGAGCAGTTTGTCAGAGATGGGGCAAAAGAAGAAAAAATAAGTAAAAATAAAAAATAAAGATTTATGGGTGAAAGGGAGGGAGGGACAGAACTAAATGGCCACTGAGGTCCTCTTTAGATGTGAGATTAAAAAGAATCTATATTTCACTTAAAATATTTTTAAACAATGATTTTAATTTCTGTTTATTCAGCTTACAATTTACAGAAACAAAATAAAACTAGTTTCCAATTATAGAAGTACATAGTTATCCTTATTGAGTATGAAAAAAAAAACTGGGGTGCAAGCAGGGATTAGGTATCTACTTATTTTATAAATCAAATTAACTGTAATTTATAGCAATGTATCCAGCAATGTATCCTGGAGTGTGTATATGCAAGTGTGTGCATGTGTGTATATTAAAATTAACATCTGAGAATCAAGAGTTCAATTATAAATAAAATGTACTAACATGAAAAATCTTAAATCTGAAAAAGGTGAATAAAATGTTAATTTATAAAGGAAGAATATGAGTAATGAAAATTAATTTAGTGCAAAAGTACCTACTCTCGTGGCCGTAAAGTCAGTTATTATAGTGAAGTTTCAGTCAAAATATATTATTACACACTTATTCTCTCACCAAGATACCATCAATAACAAGAACAAATTTAATACAACAGACAACTCACCAATGAGCCTCAGTATTGATGCTATGATAATATCAGGAGTGTATGCAATGTTTGCATGTCCTTTTCTGTATTTTATCCACTTATCCATTACAGGCCACAGCTCCTTACTACAAAATAACAACAACAAATATATACATGTATGTATGCATATGAAAGTATGCTCACCCACCATTGTTCAAATATTAAGAAGAAATTATCTTAAAAATCATCCATAGGAGACAGTTAGTGAAGAGGAGGAACTTGAAAAGATGTAGCATTTTTGGCTAACATGAGAACAGACACTGAAAGCTCACATACTTTCCAACTATTCAGGATCTCTGTGCTTACAGTGGCTTTAAAAAGGCTGCAAACGCCCATGCTTGCATCTTTATTCTATTTAACCCTTTCCACAAGGCTTTAGTGTAGAGATGCTGAACAATGTCCCCAAGTCACAGAACTGGAAGCAGCAGAGTCTGGATTCTCACGTGGACCATCCAGATGGAAGGTGGCACCTGCGTTCTAGAAGCCTAGTTTCCCGGGGTGGAGCAAGGACAAACAGCCTATATTTTGTAAAAAGAACTAAACCAGAGGAAATGAACCACACTTTACATGGATTAAAGAAACTACATCTACTGACTGAAAACAGTGGCAATTCCTCTTTGCTCTCTCTTTTCAAAAATGTATTAACTTCTTACATAGTATTTATAATATCAGCAAAGTTAAATACAGACAAATGAAAGGAAAATGTACGTTAAAAAACACATTCTCAGATAACTATCACTCTTTTAATTTGGGGCTTTTCCTCCCACAGACTTCTATGCTTGCATGTATGTGAAAAACACAGTCAAAGTGACTGCAGTGCTTAGGAATCAGGGTCTGGAATCGGCCAGGCAGAGATCCTGATATCCAACATTGTCCATACCGCCAGCGGGGGACCATGGACAAAGCACCTGTGACTGGCACCATCCCTGGTTGTTTCATCTGTCACTAGGGATAGAAGGGCCCCTGCCCCCTGGGCTTCCAGGAAGATGAGGCCCAGGGTAGCCATTCACACATCATTACCCAGACAGCACTAAACAGACTGTCCTGGCACTTTCTTAGTAACAGACTGAAAAACACTTTCGTGTCAGTATATAAAAATCCATGTATAGCTATTTATTCTAACATGGCTGTATCTCATTATATAGACATTCCATAATTCTATTACCTATTATATGACATTCAGATGTATAATCTTTCCTGAGTGTTAAGAAGGGAAAACAAGAGAACAGATTTCCACAGAATATATTCCTCAAATGTCTCAAAGATACAGACTATTAATCCTTTGGTGAATCCTTTTCAATGTGATAAACGCCTTTAAACCAGCCTTTCTCAGTCAGGGTTGTAAGAAAATTAAGGGTTGTAATTAACTGCAGAGCAGTTATTTGACTACTTTCTCCATTCTCCAAACATGCTGCATAGATAGATGAACGGAGGAAAGTTAATTCATTACATAAAATGGACGCATGAGCGTTAACAGGCTCAGTTCTCTCCTGAAATCCCAGTGAGAAGAGCTGCTGACCCAGAATTTTGAATATTTCTGTTCCTGTGGGTTTTTCCATAGTATCTGTACATTAAGATAATGACCATTACATTTCAATCTACACATATTCGCTGAGTACCTCTCTTGTGTGGGCACGGCTCTCTCTACATACATACCGGGGGAGGCCAGGGAAACCAAAGTCCCCCCTGCATGAGATTCATTTTCCTTTAGTAATAAGAGGATACAGTGAAAAGCAGTGAAAGGTACCATAAAAAAATAAAGCGAGGGGATGTGGCAGTGACACTGACATTTAAGAGTAGTTTTATTAACTCTTACCCAAATCAAAATGTGCTTTGTAAATGTTTCAGCTGCCTTAAACAGCAAAAATGATTCAAACCACAATTCAGCAATCACTGAACAGACTACCTGACAATTCAAATAACCCAACTTAAGTTAGCAGAATAGCCCTGTACCTTATAATGTTGTCATGTGTCCAAACCCACTTCTGATGGCAGCAGAGCAGATCAATGGCACATATGTACTCCCAGGTGTTATCACTTAGGTCTTCACCAAATCTTTCACTGGACTGAAATTCTGTTTTTGGACATAACTGTATGGTCAAAAGCAGCTTAGAAACCATGAAGCCAACATCTGCAGGAGCATTCTAGCAAATAAGGTAAAAAAAAGAAAATTCAGAGTTTCAAATATAACATATCTCATGTGGGTGATCTCAAAGAGTACTAACAAGCATCAGTTGAATAATCATTTAATTTTAAAGGACACCTTTTGAAAGTTATTTTGAATAAAGAACTATGTTTATCTTGTCATAACAACTGTCCTAAAATGATTATACAACGGTGGTCAACAGGCCAGATAAAAAAGCTCCAGGCAGAATGCAGAATCCAGTCAGGTAGGAAAGACACTGCAATCCAGATAGGAATGCAAATTTTCATTAACTGAAATCAGAGAATTAAAATTTTATTAAAAAACAATTTTTAATCTTTTTTTTTTTTTTTTTTTTTTTTTTGGTATTCTGGCCTCTCTCCGTTGTTGTCTCTCTCTTGTGGCCGCACAGGCTCCGGATGCGCAGGCTCATCGGCCATGGCTCAGGGGCCATGGCTCAGGGGCCCAGCCGCTCCGCGGCATGCGGGATCCTCCCGGACCGGGGCGCGAACCTGCATCCCCTGCATCAGCAGGCGGACCCTCAACCACTGCGCCACCAGGGAAGCCCCACAATTTTTAATCTTTAAAAAATTCTTCAATAAATTCATTCTGTCATCTTTCTGACCCTAGATATCAGTCTGCTTTTTCCAGAAATTCATAAAATTGAATCAGATTGTACTAGACTCTTCTGTCTGGCTTCTTTTACACCTATGCATGCTTTTTTTGATATTTTTTTTCCACGTTCTTGCACGTATACGTAGCTTGAACACCCCTTTTTACTGCCGAGTAGGAATCCATTGTATGGATATACCACAGTTTGTCCATTCACCTATTGACAGAAATCTGGGTTACTTCCACCTTTAGGCTGTAATTAATAATGCTGCTTTGGACATTCATGTACAAGTCTTTTTGTGGACATAAATTTGACTTTCCTTGGGTACATACCCAGCAGTGGATTTATCATTTTTTTCTTTTTTTATTGGGTTTTGTGATTAAAAATGAACAAGGGGCTTTCAATCTTCGCTTACACCTGAAAAAGACTGGAATTAGTTGGTTCTTTAAAGATTAGATAAAATTCAGATGAAATCTATCCACGCTTCTTGTATACTAAATTTTTAATCACCTTTTCAACCTTTTAAAATGGAAAACAACTGGTGTATTCCAGTGTTTTACCCCTAAAGCCAATTCTGACCATTTTTATGTTGCTAAGGAACCATTCTCGGTTTCTGAACCTGTTATGAAGCTGTAGGCGGCAGTCTTCTCATTCTTCATCCTCCATCTCCACTCACACTGCCTCTCTCATTCTGAAATCTTGAACATTTTTGCTTTTCTCTTTTTACATTAATCTGAACTGAGTTACCTGTTCTGTTAGTATTTTTTAAAGGCAATTTTTTTTTCTCTACTTCATTACTATTACACCTCTTAAACTATATTTTTCTTCTGGATTCCTTCTCAAATTTTTAATTTTTAAGATGATTATCAGGGAACTTTACTTATTACTTGTTTAATAATGAAGACATTTAAACTATTTCAATGAGTGTAAGTTTTCAAAAAATGAGAGGTCTTCGGTATGAAGGGTTTTCCTTTCACACCAAATACTTTGATTTTACTTCTGAGTTTCTATTTGTTCACAGATTGTCCAGGACTGTGTATCTCAATCTCCAGGGAACTTTTATAGAATCTTTTAATTCTTTGTCTAATTTTACTGAGTCATTGACAGAGAATTGAGTGTAGACTCTTTACTTTTTAAAAATTAAGGTCAAATGCATGACTTTTTTGCAAATCACAGACATATGAAAAACTACAGTCTTCATTCAAGTTTACTTTTTATATTGTTGAATTCTACTAACTCTTTACTTATTTTTGTGCTTCACATCTATTGAATTCTGTAGGACAGAATTTGGAAGTCTTGGACTATAATGGTATCCCCCCCAAGTGTTCCTCTTTTTTTTTTTTTTTAATAGCTTTGACTTTATATTTTTATTTGATATGATACAGGCTAAACACACTTATTAAAATTCTACCTTCTTCATTAATCATGTTTTATCATCCAAACATATCTGGCTTCATCCTGAACAGGCCAAAAGAGAAGGCTCCAGTGCACAAGCAGGAGGACCAAGCAGGGACAGAAGTGGACCTGCAGGTAACCGCGGAGGGTGGAAATGCGTGTATGGATGCTCTTCTCACTGCTAAGGGACTGGAATCTGATGGTACCTCACACCAATACACTCTGGTTTGTCTAGGTGGATTGATGAAGAGATGATTACAGACTTGATTTTTTAAATTCCCTAACTTTTTATCTATCAATAGCCCTCTCCTTTTCTTTTTATAAGAAAATAAAAGTCTAATGAAGAGTCATATCAAAAAGTACTAAAAAGGAAAGCAAAATGACATGTAAAAGTCGACTACATGCATAAGCCAGAATTTTTTTAAAAGAGGACAGTAATACAGTCATTAAAAAGGGCAGAACAAAGTGAAAGTTAACCCCTCACTGACTTCAATACCTCTTCTTAAAGATTACCACTATCAATTCAGCATCCAGCGATTCTCATTAGAGAAAATCTATGAAGAAAAGAACACCAATCTAGATACTATATTAACATATCAGTCACGAAGGAAAATAAGATAATGAAAGAAAACATGGAACACAATACTTAGAACAAACACAAATTCCATCAACTGATAAGAAAAACAGAATATTAGATTCAGAAAAAATCGTAACAGGAAGGAATTGAGATACCAATTTTTTCACTTAAGTACCTACTGTAGAAGCAAATGATGTGCAACTCTTCTGAGCCCTCACATATATATGTGCATGCACAGATTTCATCGCCATAAATTAGTACACAAAAGAAACTTTGCTCAATTAACACAGCACACAGGTCTACAACTTCTCCCAAAGTGTCTCATGCATACTTAATGAACAAAATGCATAAGCTTAGACTAAAATGATATTTTAAAGGATCTAATATGAAGAATAATATCTCTGAAATGGTCACGAACTAATACAAAACCAAATAATAACATTTATATAAGACCTACAAGTACAGTATTACATAAAAAGAAACCTCACCTTCTCCCAATTGAGGAAAGCTCGCAAACAGTTCAAAACTTCTCCTTTAGCGCGTTGCCTGGCTACCAACTGCATTGCCTTATTAATCACCGATTGAGAGATAAATATATCATGCCACATGTTTGCAATGAACAAAGTCAATTTTTCAGACTCTGGAAAATCTATGAGAAAGGAAACAAGATAATAAACCTTTACGTCTGATTAAGTGAATAAATGACAAACTAAGAAGATATTTGAATAATTTCCCCTTGTGCACAGCAGGGCCACCTAAAGCTAAAGGGAGGAAGCCTGACGAGGCCCCAGCCTCAGTTATTTCAACTCTGCTTCTCCATCTCTCCCGCCCATCCCTCCCCTTCCCCCCCCACCAGCCAACCTTTCTTTCTCTTTGGCAAACTTTCTTTAATCGAATTTGAAACACAGTGCATGAGTATACACCACTGTAGAAAAGAGCAATAAACTCCAAAACAAGAAGAGAAGGCAAACCTCCTCTCGCAGGTTCCAGACCCTGCGCCCAGAACCCTCCCATCTGGTGCGTGTCCTTTCAGGCCATGTTTTATGCATTTACAAGACAGAATTCACTTGAAGAACACCTAAGGCTTTTGATATGAAGGGATTTTTTTATAAATTATGACTGATAATCCTTTTCTTATGAATACCTTCTCCAACGCCATGGCTTGTCTTTTCTGTTGTCTAATCAAGTTAATCGAGGCACAGCTTACATACAATAAAATACACTCTGTAAGCAGACAGTTTGAAGGATTTTGACAAATGAACACACCCATGTAACCCCCACTACAACCCACAGATAGAACATTTCCATCATCCCAAATCCCCATGGTCTGACCCTTTCAGTGAATCACTTTGTCCCAAATACAGACAAGCGTGATCTGCTTACTGTCACTTTGCACATGTGCCTTTTCTCAAATATGTATGAAGAGATTTGTAAAGCATGCACCCTTTTCTGCCTGGCATCCCCCTCTCAGCAAAACCCACGTTGCTGCACGCATCACTAGCCCTTCCTCGTTGTCTGAGTAGTATTCCAACTGCTTGGTATACCACACTGGTTTTTCATTCAACTCCTGATGGACCTCTGTCTCCAACCATGGGCTGTTATGAATTAAGATGCTCTGAATACCTGTGAAGTGTATACGGATATGTGGGTATGTCTCTATTTCTGTTGAGTAAGTACCCGAGAGTGACATATCTGTGTCATATGACAAACTGTTTAATTTTATAAGAAACTGTCAAAGTGTTCCGCAACTGGTTTTATCAGTCAACACGAAGATTCGGATCTTGTTTGGCATGACGCCACATCTTTTTCATTGTCTCTGTTCTGTTTTATCTAACACTGCACTGCAGGGTGTATAGAGAGAGGGTAACTCAAAGCATAAACTCACTGTGCTATTTTGATCTGTTACTTTGGAAACCTTGTGCTTATCTGATTATACTTCCTCCTGTCCCAGGACTCCACATGCTGTTCCCTCTGCCTGGAATTTTCTCCCTCACTTTTATCTTCACATCTAAGTTCAAAAGGCACTCCGATGAGGAAAGCTTCCTCGACCCCTGAGACTCTCTCAAACCCACCTTCCACAGCACAAGTCATTCATTCAACAGATACTTAACGAGAGCATACAAGACATTCTCCTGGGGTGAGGATGTAGTAGGAACAAGACAAACAAAATCCCTGTCCTTAGAGTATACGACCTAGCAGAGGAAAGAGACAGCAAACAAAAAGGTAACAGTGTAACCATAGCAAAACGGAGGGAAAAGCTTCCCCGCAGAGAACCTGTTACAAAGACCCAGAGGTGAGAGCGGGCTGGGTGTGTTTGAGGAAGAACCAGAAATCCCACCTGGGCTCTGCAGAGTCCCTGTTGCCCTGCTTCCTGCTGCCCTTCACTGACAAAACCTGACGTGTGCGCCCCACTGGAAGGCTGCATCTATAGCTGGGTTTGGTCACCGTCAAAGCCTTAACACTTATGTGCACCCCGTAACTATTTGTTAAATAAGTCAGTGACTGAAAAAATAAATGAAGTGGGCAACAAACACAGCAGCCTCACTCACAACTCTACCAGTGACAGATTCAATTATCCTGATTTATAAGCCCCATAAACATTATGGTAATAAAAGATTATCAATCTTTGCAATCTAGATAAGACTCTCTGATGTAGCATTAAATTCCATTTGTGTGTCATTTTGCTATATTAAAATGTTTCCACTGATGATCTGATATGAAGGAGTCCTATTTGCTCCATTAATAGACTTAAGAAATAGTAGTAAAAGGAAAAGAGAATCAAAGGACAGCCCTCCTTTCCATTTCTCCCTGAAACTCTTCTTTCCATGGGCTTATGAATCCATCTTAGCGTTTCTGCCCTTTCCAGCTAGTAACAGAGCAGAGCGGTTTGTCACTCTAAAATGATTCCATTATCTTGTGTCAACTATATCTGACTCTAAAGTAGATGCACAAGGAACAAAACCGACACGCACTAATGAGAGATACACTTTTCTACACAAGTGGAAATGTATATGCTGACCTAAGTAAGCTTAAGTCACACAAATTCTCCCACTGAAAACCAGGAATGGCTGGGTCTATAGCTAAGGCTCTTCATGCCTTCTGGTAAATGCACAAGATAACATGATTTTAAAAGATACACAGCAATACCTTAGCTGAAAATACAGATGCATATATGAGCAGATAAAAAAGCAACAACCCGTTTTCAATACAAGAATGTTGCCATCTAAACATACCTTCCTTAAGTAGACTGTAGCAAAACAAGCGAGCTCTCTCCAAGTCTCCCAGCTGCCGACAAATACCCACATACACTCTGCAGAGGGCGTGGATGTAATTGTGCTCCACAGACATCTTCTGAATTTTCAGTTCTGAGAGAATAGAGTGAAGCAAGCACTCTGCTAAAGGCTGAATTGGAAGAAAAAAAAAAAAACGAAAAGGCAATGTACACTGATACTTATCTTCAGCCTACTAAAGACCAGCTAAAAGTTACAAAATTAAGTACCTTTTGGAAAGTCTCAGAAAGTAGAGGACAACACCCACCGTGGTAACTTCCTTTAGCAGGGAAAGCCGTGAGGCTCGGGGAGGAGAGAGCCCATGCCTGTCGGTGTCCGGGGGTCAGCGGGGCTGCAGGGGCCACGGGGCGAGTCCCAGGACACCTGGATGCCTACTGTCACTACCACCACTCCTACAAATGACCACTTTTTGTTTTTTACTACAATAATCTGTGTGTATGTATTAAATCCACTCATATTCTACTCCCATTCTTGTTTTCTGAACTCCAATGTACTCTACACATTTATCCTGTTTAGATCTTAAAATACTGGGTAATGTTTTCCTCACCCAGGAAAAGGAGCATTAAATAATTTGATACATTCATTTGAAAATAAACATCTTTCCAAAGTTACCTGTACTGCTCTTTGGGCTTTCTGAAATGCAACCTAAGAAAAATAAATATTTATACCATTGTGATTCCAAGGATGTACAGATAACCGATAAAGCATAATCCATGGGACACCGGAAATCATCCACCCAGTATCAACATAAATATGTAGAAAACAAAAACCAAGGAAAGTCCTAATAAACCATGTAGGTAAATCTGCATAATCCTCCCCCAGCCCCCTTCCTGAAACTAAGCATCTGTTCCTGTTTGATTTCTGACCTACACCAAGGGAAGTGGGAGGAACCCACACACTACCTTTCTGACTCTCAAAATCCTCAAGTGTGTATATAATATCATTCACAGAAAAGAAAGTCTCTATTACATAGCAATTTGATGCTCTGAAGCAAATCATTCTGAGCTTTTAAGCATGCCAGAATCAATAGGAAATATGCAATTTAAGTCCTGACAGGCTTTTTTTTTTTTCCCTTTAAAATTTTAAAGTATTTGGTGAATACAAATTATCAAATCTCCGACATCTTATCACTTCTCAAATGTATAAAATGCTGGCTAGAAATAAAGTACAGGTCCTAATGTTTACACAGGTGACTGCCCATCTCTGAGAATAAACTTCTGTTCAGGGCCACCTCCCCTTTCGCTGACAGGAGACGGCCTCTGTCTGAGGACATGCGATTCCTAACGCTCCCAGAGCAAAGGAGCCACATACCTTTTTTGTTGTGCTAAATTCATAAACAACTTCTTTCTCTTGATCTCTCATCACAGGCTTTTTGGAGATGTTTCCCACATACACATGACTGCGAATGACAGGTAACAGGTCAAAGGACGACTCTGCGATCTTCTTCAGAGCCTCCGCTACAGCTCTGTCATAGGACTCCACGGCTTCCTTGGGGCTCAGGGGTGACTGTGAGACTGTACTGACGGCCAGAAGACGACGCCCCTCCTCCTCTGTCCTCACAGCTGCAGCCTGGGAGGGGTTCCTTTGGGGGCTCCTGCTGACACCCTCTGAGGGGGGCTCTGGCTCCGGGGACCCGCTGTCCAGGCGCAACCTCTTAGCACTCCTCGGTGTGCCCGCTGACAGTGCCCTTTTCCCACCTGAACACTGCGGAGGCTCTGGATCTCTCGACTTATCCTGCGTACAGTCACCACCAGAGCTACCCCCTGCTTTCACAAAGGCGGTTGAGCTTGAAGTGATGGCTTTGAAGCCCCTGATGGCGCTGGCGGGCCCCGGTAGGTTCTTGGAGTCGGCCGGCGGGCCTCGCTTAAGCTGAATGTTCCCTTTGAGGATGCTGAGGGTGCGGGCCCTGGCAGACAGCTCTGGGTACATGGTGTCCAGGATCTTCACGGAATTCTCCTGGGGCACTGCCACTGCCGGATGGGCAGAGGCGAACGGGGGCAGGCGGCCGGGCACGGGGACGGCGTGCTTTGGGGTCGCAGCACAAAACTGCAAAGGAGATGACAAGACCCTGTCATTGGCCGGGGCGGTGGATGGGGATGCATGTGGAGGAGAGGAGTGCCCCGGCTCCTCCAGCAAGGGGGACACCATAGGCGACACCGGGATCTCACACGGCGGAGAGATCGGGCCGTGGGGAGAGACGGGTGAGCAGGGGCTGGAACTTGACGTCAGTGGAGAGGCTGGCTGTGAAGTCCTCGGAGGCGTGGCTATCAGAGGAGCCAGCAACGGGGGCAGGGGGGGGCCCACCTCCTGCCGGATCTTACTTAGCGTGTCCACACAGCAGTCCGCAGGAGTGGACGTGTCGGCGCTGGCTAGGATGGTCTGCGTTTGACTTCTCTGAGTTTTTCCGTTCCCTCTTTCTCCAGAAAATGACGGAGAAACTTCATTCTGAGTAGTCTCCATTCTGCTCGACGCTAACATCTTCACTGGTTTGTTTGTCTGATCTCTGTTTGAAATCTTTGATCGATTCTTATTTTTGCTCAGCGGCTCTAGTTTCGAATTATAGTACGTGTGATCAGAAGGAACCGTCTGAGTCTCAAAGTTCTGATCATAAATCTCAGAGCTAATCCTCACGCTGGGCTTAACGGGTCTATTCCGTAAACGACTTTTATCAAAGTTAGTACTCTGACCGCTGCTTGAAATATCGCCCTGGGTTCCGGCCACACTACTGCCACACTGGGGCTCCTGAGGAGGAGGGCCGGGGCGACCGGTCTCTGGGGACTTCTCCACGGAAGGAAGTGGAATGAAACCAGCTGCCAGCCCTTCTGGATCCGGGGAAACAGGGGCATCTTCAGGGGCGTCACACAGGATAACCTGGTCCACTTCTGGCATGAGAGCTACCCCATTGATGATGGTCCAGTTGTCCCCTTTCTCAATGACTAGATTCTGATCCTTATTTATCAGCACGTTTATAACCTCGGAAGTCACTGTAGAGATCTGACACTGAAACGCCACTTCCCCTGGCCCCACTCCCGGGGCAGCGCACAGGGGCAAGGGCTCCGGGGGTTCTGACGAGGCCTCTTCCTTACCATCCACTGGCCTGATCGCATCCAAGTTACCCGCAGATCTGCTCTGCATGTTTTCATGTCCAGGTCCACCACTAGTGGGAGAACTGCCCTGAGTGTCCGAGCCGGCCGTCGGCAGGGGTGAAGAGGAGCCGGCTGTTTCCAGAGGCAGAACTTGCTCTTTCTCATGCTCCGCTGTGACGCTGTCAGGTGCATTTAAGAGCTGTAACTCACCAGCATCCTTCCCACCAGCGTCCTCCCGGTCGGGCTGCAGCTCCTGGTGGATCCTGGTGAGCACCTCAGGCAGCGTCTCCAGGGAGTGCTGAGCAAGCCGCCGCCTCATGTCCCTTAAAAGACAGTCGTCTTCCTCCGAGGAGCCGACGCACTCCTCAGAGGTTTCTAGTGTTTCCTCTTCACACAGTTGCTTTCTGTACTTTTCTCCTGACGGTTCACTTTGCTTTAATTCCTTGTTCATCCCTTTATTTAGGGCTCCCTTGTTAGAACATTCTGAAACAGAGTCCCCTGAACTATAATCTCTTAACTGACAACTTTCAAGAAACATCACGACCTCGGACGTGGAAAGTCCGTCTGTCTCGGAGAGCGCGCTGAGGTTACAGTCCCGCAGAGCCGAGGTCAGGCACCCCACCTCGACGGAAGGTCTGGTCTCGGCCGCACCGGCGCTGGCAGCCCCCATGCCTCGTCCGGAGGCCCCACCAGCACTCTGCTGGCCGCCCTCCAGCCCGGCTTCGGGATCGTTCTCTCCCTCACTGCAGCTTGGCGCGTCACCCTCTTCTACCTCAGTGTCACCTCCGCCTGCCTCGCGGATGCCCGTGTAACAGTACAGGGCACCAGTGAGGCTGCTCTGCGGGACAACACATTTCTCCTCATCTTTGCTGCCAAACGCTGGTGAAAAAGCAGTCTCTGTGGTGTCTAGAGCTTCAGGAGAAGCACCCCCGGGAATGTGAGACGGCAGCTGCGGATGCTCCTTTGGGCCGTGCTGTACAACAGACGGGTCCATTGTAACGGCCAGAGCCTCCCCAGAGGCTCTGACTGTGTCTCCAACAGGAAAACCTCTTGACAGCGTCACCTCCGTGGCTGGAAGTTTATCCACATCCAGCCTGGACGTGTCCACATTTGTGGCAGGAAGACACGGGCTCTGCTCCTGCACCTCTTCCTGCACTGTGGCTTCCGTCACAATGTCTTGGTTTGGGACCAGGATGTTGTCAGAAGAGAAAGATAATGTACTATCTGTGGGATAATGGGAACTTTCTACTGGTAAAGAAACCCCTGGAGAATCAAAGTCTGATTTTCTCCAGGAGGAGGAAACTCCCAGGGCAGTGTTCTCTATAGCAGCTGCCTCCCTGCTTCTCGGTGCTGTGGGCGCTCTCTCCCCACATCTTGCTCCAGATGGTGTCCGACCAGCCCCATTATCAACGTCTGTCACTAAGGGGGGCTCCCTCCTAGACAGTCTCGAGGGTTCCCATCGTGCGCCCTGCATGGTTTCAGGCCGTGCCTGCTTGGTGATAACTGACACCTGGTTAGGCAACAAGGATGCAGGCGCCCTGAATCCTGCAGAACTGTTATCCTCTCCAGCACGTTCAGGCTTGGGTGCTGATCCTCTGCTTTCTGAGGACGCCGCCGCCTCTTGTTCACGTTCAGGTTGAGGTCCCAGCCTTTCTTCACCACTTCGCTGTAACAGATCACTGTGGTGCCACAAAGTGCTTTCACCAAAGCCAAAGCCACTCCTGATCAAGCCAGACTGAGGCCCTGCCGACGATGTGAAACCTGACCGACTCGGCGTGAGCTCGACCCTCGGACCTTGCCTTTCACCTGGCCCGCCTCTGGCGGCTCCCGAGAATCCTGACTGCAGGAGTGAGCAGATATCGTTCATGCCCTTCACAAGGGTCGTACACCCCACCTCGCTGCCCCTCTGACCATTAGAATCAGATGCCCCCGACACTGGGCTCAGAGCATGTAAGCTGTTCTCCAGATGGCCTTCTCCTATGGGACACTCCGGGGGCTCAGAATGTACATCTAGTATGGTGAACATGGCAGCTTGTGATTTCTGCTCCAAACGATGCAGTTCGGGAGGGCCTACTTCAGTAGGAACAGATGTTTCAGCGTCATCCTCCAACCCAGAGGGAGTCCGGGGGTGACCGCAGAGAGATGAGGCCACGGGGGAAGACAACTCCTCTCCCAGACCGAGCACCGCGGCAACCAGCGCGGCCCCTGCTGCCCCTGGGGCAGAAGGGTCTCCCGAAATGAACCCTCGCATTGCTTCTCTTTCCTTCTCCAATTCTCCAGACAGTCCCTGAAAATGACCAGAAGTGGACAGACGACCTGATGCTGAAGTGACTCCATCAGTCAGTGTCCACTTGGTCACCTCTAATTTAGGTGATCCTATCACTCTGGACACTAGGGTTTTTCCTTCAGGTGCGCTGGGCTCATTCGATGGCCACGGGCCCAGGGTAGGATGACATGAGTCTGACGTCCCAAGAGCCGTGCCCTCCTCTACAGGCAGGCCGCTCGAGAGCTGCTCAACACGCCCGCTGCCCGTGGGTTCAGGACGTGTCTTCTCTGTCTGCACTGACCCATCCATCTCCCAAGCCTGTCTCTGTCTTCCTGCCTCATCCAAAATGCCTCTTTCTCCCTTGCTCACGAACTCAGATGACACCGTCCAGTGTTTCTCATGAGCGGAGGGGAACGTGGCTGCAGGTTCTCTCAGGTTTGCTGTAAATGTCCCAAACCCAACCGCTGTCACCTCACTGACTTCCAATGTATTTAGAGCTTGGGTGGCTTCGTGTGGCTGGAGCTTTTCCTCCCATGTTCCAGTTCCTTTACTTTTTCCAGATGAGCTAAAACAATCCAGCAATTCTGGTGTATCATCTTCTGAAACAGGCTCAGAATTCCTATGTTGGGCTGAATCATGATCACTGGAATCTGTACACTCTCCAAAGTAGATTTCCTTAAATATAAATGAATTACATTAATTAGTTAGTAAAACACTACTTCAGTCAACTAAATGCAACTACCACCTAAATGCATTAAAAAAAAGTGTGTGCTTCCTGAAGAATCTGAGGAAAGGGTAGTCCACTCTCTGGACTCTATCAACGGATGGGTAGGTCTCAATGAGCACAGCACTGCTTCTTCTTTCCTTAAAGAAGCCGCCTCTCCCCAGCGTTTCCTGCACTCACACTGCTTCTCCCCAAACGGAGAAGCTTCCCAGTTCTAATCCACATGCAGCCTAGGGTTAGGTCTGTTCTCCTAACTTCGAAGCAGGCCTCCTCTCAACTCTGACGTCCCCATTTTCTGGCCCAAAAGGCTTCCGCCTCTAGCTGCCCAGCCCCGCCTGCCTTCCCCGGCGAGCCGCAGGCTCTGGCCCAGGGCAGCTCGCCCCAGCGCCAGCCCGGCCATCGCTCTGGGTGTCACCCTGCAGACCCCTCTTGCCACACCTCATGCCTGTGCTGCACCCCGACACCTCTGCCTCCTCCACAGCCCCTGACTCCCGGTCTGCTCTGGAAGCCTCCCTCCCCATCTTGAGTGGTAGAGACCACACGGCCCCCAGGAGAGCCGGTTCAGCCACCCACCCTGCGAGGCCCAGGGACTGACGAAGAGTCACCACCGCTGACATGAACTTGCTCCCACTGGAGAAACCCTTTCCTCCCTTGGATGGATGCTAGGGCACCATCACCCCCTGGTCTTCCTCTGCTGTCCTGACCTCTTCTCCTCTTCTGTTTGGCCGCGTCGGCACTGACAGCTCTCCAGGACTGTCGGGACCCGACCCTCTCCTACACGTGTATTCCGGGGGGATGACAGCACGCAGCCCCGGGCCTCTGCTGGCCCCCAGGCTGAGGCACCCCGGCACCTGCGTCCACCCAGCCTGGCTCTGAGCACCAAGCCCACGGAAGGGGGTACAACTCGCACACGCCGCACCTGGAAATCCCGCGCACACCTAGCACCTAACATTCCTACGTTACCTCCCCGCCCAAAGAGGTTCTTCTTCTCTGTTGTTTCCAACATCCTCAACCCCCCACTCACCTAACAACCATACCGCAGATCTCACGAGACGTGCTGCTCGCTCAACCTCGAGACCTTTTCCAAACCAGTTGACTCAAATGCTACTACTGTTCAGGTGTCAAGAACTGAGGAAACTGCTGATTAAATGACTTCCCGACTACAGTCCTGCCTCCTTCCCGACTCTCCCCTCTAACTCCCCATTCATACTGTGACTAAACGAAAACCTTCAAGTGGAACTCAACCATTAGCTCCACTTCTTTGGATCCATCGAGGATTTCCCTTTGCCTTCAGGATACAATGGAAAGTCCTTAGGACACACATGGACCTGGAGACCCGGTCTGGGTGAATGCCCCCAGCGCCAGGTTTGCCCTGAGTCCAACACCTCTGTGTAAACAGTTCCTCCAGCTGACACAACGCACCCCTCCACGCGCTCGGCCGGGACACCTGCTCGCTGGAGACGCTCCCGCCCGGCCTCCGCCCGGCCTCCTTCCAGCATGAGCTCCATGTCCAGCTCCCTCCAGCAGCATGCTTCCCAGCAGCGCGGACTCCACCACGGCCGTTATGGGGGCAACCGCCACACAAGACCCCACCAGGGGTGACCACAGCCCATGTCACCTCAGCTTTCCAGTGTCTAGCACCAGGTCCAGAACGTAACAGACATGCATTATGGTTTCTCGAATGAAGGATGTGACTCAAGGAGTCATTTATCTGTTCCTTAAGCCAAAAAGCATACAAATCTGCTTTGTCAAGACTAACTTCCTAAAAAATTACAATAAACCATTCTGAAAACACACAAAAAGATGATGAATTCATTGCATGAAGGTGGGGAATTCAGCAACCTCATTGACCTGCATGCTCTATACATGGACTTCCCATCTCTGAAAGACTCCATGTCTGTAAACACTTGTTTAATTCACTCATTCCATATCTGTTGTGTCAGGCACTAAAGATAAGAGTAAGCAATTAAGACACGGGAGACTTACAGTACACTGTAGGTTAAAACAATAAAAATGCACCCCTAGCACAAGATGAAAAAAGCCGTATGTGCACGTGGACCCGAGGGCACTGGCCCGCCTTGTTAAATCCTCACTTTCCTCCCTGACAGCTGGTCTGAGATCCCGTAGCAGGATGGACAACATGGCCACCAAGTAATGCAAATACAAAGTGTCAACTTACGGGTGAGAGTGAGGACGGAAATGCACCCAGGTGTGGGGACGACAGCAGAGGGGGTGAGGGCACCGGGGACAGAAGAGGAGGGGGCAGCTTGAAGAAGTCGACGGCAGCCTGAAGATCTTCATCAAAAGAATGATCATGATCAGAAAAGTCAGCACGGTCATCCTCATTCCTCTGCGTTACAGCCTCAGGATTCCGGTCCTCTTTAAAGACACCATTGTCACGGCAAGCTGCTCCACCCAGCCTCTCTCTCCCCGCGTCTTCACACGCAGAGAAGTCGCCCTCTATCTCCATGGACAGCTCTGCCAGGCACGTCTGCACAGCTGAGGTCCTGAGAGGGCTACCCCCTGCTGGAGGGGGCACACCATCCTCCCTGGACTCTAAGTATCTGGGGTTTTCTTTGGCAGGTTTTTCTGTGGGGAAAAAATATATATAAAGAAAACTTAAAAAGAAAATCCTTATTTTAACAGTTCAAAATGCTTGCATTAAATCCAAGTAGAAACATTTTTAAAAGGCAACCAATCCCTTCCTAAAGAATAACCTATAAGACTTGAACATATTCCACAGAAGTATGCTTCCCTCACAACAAGCGAACGAGAAGACAGGCAGGTGGATGGTGAGATGCCCGTGTCCCATTAGCAGCAGGGTGTCCGTGCCAAGGCGCCCATCCACCGCCATGGTAACGGGGCTTGACGATGCCCTCATTCTCTTGGGAAATCAGCAGGACTGGGGAGAAACAGCTTCTGCATACAATGTGATAGGAAACACTATTTTCCCTGTCTAAAATCAACCTATATTAGACTACTCCATGACCATATTTGTATAATTCTCTAACTAAGGAACCTGACTAGGTCACATAAATACTTTGCATTATAACGCAACAAGAAAACTACTATAAAACGTTAGTTCTCTTTGGATTTGGATTTTGGTATACTGCAGTAATGGTAATTGTTAGTAAAAACATCGTGTCCTAGGAAATAACTAGAAATAACCATTTGTCATATTTGAAAGCTGTAAAAATATATTTTGCAGAAGGCCTCAGGGCTCCTTGGAGCAGTGTTTGATAACAGGGCTGGGGAGGGGAAAATACAAGCGGAGCCTTAAACAAGCTTGCAGTACCAGAAGTAAAGAAGTACTCAAAACAGGACGGGACATGCCTAAAAGACCCAGGAGCCAAACTAAAGATGGTCCCAATAACCAAATCTGGAGCAATTTGAATAAGATAATGAAAGTACTGTATTATAACATACAGAATAAAAAAAAAATATCTGTGAGACTACACTGACAGAAACAGTGAATAAACAAGTAAGTGGTGAAAAGCAACAGCTCTTCCTTACTGAAGAATTCCAATTAATACACGTAGGAGGAATGAGGGAAATACAAAAACACTATTAGAGTGGTAATCGTAGCAGACAAGATCCATCAATAGATGCTAAAATCAGTGGGCTACATTGGAGAGAAACAGAATATCTGCAGTGTCAAAGCATCTCCCTCAAGATAATCAATGAATAAGGAAGCAACAGAAACTTTACATGCAGGAACCTGGCCGACACCACCTTAAACAAGCAATCAAGGTTAACATCCCCAGTGACAACGCAGACCCACACACACTCTCCCCTGGCACACTACTGGGGAACTCTTGCCAAAAATACACAGCCTCGCTCTCATACAAGAAAACATCCCACAAACCAAAAGATTCGTATTCTCCAAAAGGGTCAGAGATGTGAGACAAAGAAAGAGCAGTAACTGTCAGACTGGGGGCAATTAAAGGAAGAATGACTGCTAAACGCAACATGGGGTCCTGGGATGGGAGGCGACAAAAGTGGGAAACTCGGTCTTCTGCGTACACCTGCCATATACACCTCCCACCATGTGTCTTCCAGTTTCCATGAATACTCCCTGACGAAAGGTGCTATTACAAAATAAAAAGCCAGATGTATTCACTGAGACTAGGAGTCACCCTGGAGGGAATGGAGTTCTGTATGAATTCAAGTACCCATCCTACTTTATTTCACTCTTTCAATGTGAGATTCAGGAGATATTAAAAAGTGAAGGCATATAATGCCCAAAGTAAGCATTTCTACTGCATGTATGAAATGTACTTCTGGAAGCTTCTCTCTCACCTGGGACACATCTGCTGCCTTCACCAGGTAGTCTGTGTGTTGTATTTATACAGAGCCAGAGTTCCTTCAGAAGTAGTTTTACTTTTCCTGTGAAAGACAGTAAAGTATTAAAGTCATGTCATTTGGCTCATTCTACACGAGGCCAAAACACAGTCCTGTAAAACCGGGATTTTCTAGGGAATTAGAAAACCAGGCAACTTAAAACATCTTCCCCAAATTCAATCATTGCACACAATTCAGTTAGCTACTGATAAAAAGGTCTACTGATGGGCTGAATACAAACTCAGGTTTTTTTTGGAAGGTGGGGTGCAAACAGGGGTAGGACTCAAAAAACCAAATCTACTTGTTAAAGGCCTTTATCACCGTTATGAATGCACAGTATAAATAAATTTTTGGTCTATGCATTTTCTACAGAGAGTGATAAGAGACTGGGGTCGGGGGGGGAAGCATAGATACAATGACGGATGGAAGAGATTAGGGCTCCAGGTAGTCTACAAAGAACAAAGGACAGTATCCCCTCAGTTCCATGAGGCTATCAGAAAAGCCATCCGAGCTGACCATGCTGTCATTAACTTAGGGGCTTCATGGATCTTGAAAAAAATTTTAATGGCCTTAAGGGGAAATGGGAGGAGACAAAAATGGGTGTGTATAAACATGAATAGGGAGAGAGAATCACACATGAGCAGACACACAGAAAGAAGCATATGCTTCTATAAGGAAAGTGAAAACTTTGGAATTTTCATAAATATTTTTCAAACGGGTTTGATTTCCTAAAATGGTTAAGAATCACTGGTCCAAGTTGAAAGGCAAAGGGCAACTACAACAAAGACAGGCCTAATGAAAGTCATATAACATTAAGAATATTATACTATGGTTTTAAAGTCAACGTTAAGAACACAAATTCCCAAAAATGTTCCAAAGCAAAACATATTCATAAAAATATAAACATGAACAGTTCGTGTCAAATATGCATAAAAAGACAACCCACACTAGTTAAAATTTAACTGAAAATAGCATTAAGTATTAGGTAATTTCAGTCCACCCCTAAGTTCTGTTATAGTTCATTGGAAGTTCTTAAACTGAATCATTTATTGAAAACACTGAAATCTCTAATCCAGTTCTAGAGAGGCTAAAAAGACCAACCTTTTAAACCAAAATTTCTACAAGGAGTCACAAATTTTGGAAGAGGTCAGCCCTATTTAAGTTGGCAAACTACATCGCTCTAAAAAATGAAGTCCATAGTAAGAGGACCAGGACAAATGGGGCACAACAACAGAGAAGTCTGAAAAGTTGGACATTTCCAACCTCTCCTGAGACAAATCAGCCACTGTCACTGTATGAGGTACATCCATTTTTGAGTTTCAAAATTCTATGATCAAGTAGTTTATCTACATTATGATTTAACCTACCCAAAAGCCTGCTTCCAAATACTGTAATCCCCTTTGCTTAAATGACCTGACCAGGATCCCTGCTTATTACGTATACCCAAAGCAGCAAACAAGGAACCTTAAAAAAAAGAAAAAAAGTTACTTTTCTATGCTTATGGAGGCTATTAACCAGAGTTAGGCCTATTTCAACTGAGCACTCATTCATTACTTCCAGTCTGACATAAAAGAGCTATCCATTCCCAGTAAAGCAGAAAATAATTTTCATTGTGGCATCATTAGTTGTGAAAACCTCTTTCAGCTGAACTGCACACCTTCCCCTTATCCTTTAAAATGCCTCCTTTATTAAAATCCAGGCAACTCTGAGTACAGTATTTCTGGACTTTCCTACTCCACTGATTTGTCAGTTTCCACGTGAATAGCACGCTTCTTTAAACACGACAGTTTTATAAGTATGTTTTAATATCTGTACAGGCATGAATGTGGCTCAGAATTTTCCTTTTCAAAAATTAAATTATTATTCCGAACAGCTATTCTTTCCGATAAGCCTTCACCATCTGGTTTTAGAGTGTATATTTATAAATACACATGGGGAAAATGCACATCTTTATGCCTTAAGTCTTTCAATCCAGGAACATAGCATTTACACATGTGTTCAGATGGTTTAGTTTTCCTTCACCGAGGCAGGCATGCTGCTTTCAGGTCTTTCCCTGGACATCTCAGGTCGGCTGCCACCTGAGATCTGGTCGTTCTTATTCCACCCGTTTTGATAGGCTAATGATGGCCCATTGTGCGTGTCCACTGTATATACCTGCACCTTCCCCAGCTCCTATACTTCTGTTTTCCTTTTTCCACATAGATAGTCACATCATTTAAAATGCGGACAATCTGACTCTTCCTTATTAGCACTCACAGCTCCTACTCTTTGCGTCTGCCTGGCTGCACGGCTTAGGGTCTCCAGCACACACAGAAGGGATGGAACAAAAAGCAGGCTTGCCTTGTTTCTGACAGTAATGATTATGCTCTTAGGGTTTCACCTTTCTCAAGTTCAAAATGTTTTTTTCTATTATTACCTCACCAATTTTCTTTTTTAAATGAGGAATGGGTACTGAATTGAGATGATCCTATCATTTTCCTCTTAACCAGTTGTTGTGGTATTCCTGAGATAAATCCTTAAGTCGTAACTTGTCCATATTCTAAATTACTAATAGATTTGAGTTCTTAAGATTTTATTTAGTACTTTTGTAGCTTTATTCCTAAGTAACAGATTTCTGAGCCTTGAAGATATGTATGCATGTTATTCTTAATTGATCTTGGTACAGGGTTATGCTAGTCTAAGAGAATGAAACGGGAAGCATTCTACATTTTTTAAGTTCTAAAACCAAACAATAATAAAGACATCAGTTTTTCACTTCAGGCTTGCTCACCTGCAAGCCACCTAGATCTTCCATGGTGTTGGATCTTTAACTATTTTTTAAATTTTCTTCTGGGTTATTTTTCTGTTCAGGATTGCAACAACTAGTCCATGTCAATTTGAGTATGTTTTCCTACAAAATGGTCCATTTTATGAACATGATAAAATCTGAATATAAATTTGTAAATTAAAAATAATTCTCCAAATGTATTTTTAAAGCTTTCTCAGTCCTGGTGCGAGTCGGGTTTTGTTTCTTCCTTTCTTGATCAGATATGCCAAAGAGCTGTCACCTTCATGAGCATTGCAAAGATCCAGTTATTAGTTTTAATGGTCCCAAATCAAATGCCTTGTTTCCTATTTCATTAATTTATGTTTCCCTCTTCATCAATTCCTTCCTTCTATTTTCCTTAGGTTTCTGCTGTATTTTCCTACCTTCTTAGTCATTCATTTTCTGTAATCCTTGCTTCATTTTCTGTAATTCTTGCTTTCTAACAATCGCTTAAGACCACAAACCACTCACTGAATGCTATATTGACTATATCTCAAAGATTTTAATAAATACTGCCCTGCTTTTGTTTATTTCCAAAACAGATTAGTATTTCAGTTTTTATTTTTTCTGTTATCCAAGAGGGGTTTGTATTTATTATGTGTGTTATCAGTTTTTCAGGGCGGAGGTAGGAGAGATTTTTATTAATATCCTATGAAATATCAGTATCTTCATATCTCCTATTAGATCGTAGCTTTTCGTTGTCTAGTAAATAGTCAGCTTTTATATATGTTTGAAAAAGTATTTTAAAGAATTCAACGTTTGTGGTTTAAGAGTTATATGTAAATCATCCATCCTGCAATTATGATTCCAATTTATCTCCTATTTAAATTCTTGCTTTTACTCTGTATTTCTGAGAAACACACTGAAGCCTCCCATGAAAACAGATTTGGTTATTCCCCCTAGAATATCCAAGCATTTTACTTGACATAGTTTTAAGCTCGAAGGTCATAAGAGCAGTATCTTCTTGACGAATTGTACCTTTAATCAATCTAAATATTTCCTTTTAATCCATGTAAATTCATTTCTAGGTGTGAATTATTTCTTTGTCTTGTATTACTGCTTTCAAGTTAGCATCTGCTTAGCATTTCTTTATCCATCCTCCTATATTCAATCTTTCTGCTTCATTTGATTTTAAATGTATTTCCTTTGAACAAATCAGAGATGGAGATCATACATGAAAATCATGCTCTACAGCTGGGAGGCTTTTCTAAAATAAATATTGTATCAGTGTCCTGCTCTGGGAAGTTTCTTTCTATAGAATTTCTTGATCACATTTTCTCCTTACAGCTCTGTTCTCCCCTCTGAGAAGTCCTAGATGACTACTACAACATCTGGCTCTATGCTCCAGAGTCTTAGGTTTTCCCTAATACCTTTTATTTCCTTATCTTTTTACACCACATTCTCACAGATGTCCACAATTAAATCTCTTGGTTCATTATAGCAATCTTCTATTTGTCCACTCAACAATCCAGTCTTTCGAGTGGGTTTATTTCTACAACGTATTTTTAATATTTGAGAACCCCAACTCAGATTTCACATCAGCAGCCTACGGACAGGTTCTTAGATGTTCTCTAAGGACTCTATTTCAATTGTTATCATTTTCTTCTTGTTCATGATTTAACACCGTTTCCTCAGGGACTAGTTTCTCTTGAGCTCGGTGCCTTTCTTCCCTGTCACTGCTTTTTCTCAGTGACGTCTCTCACAGCCAGAGTACATTTCTACGGCCTCCATTTTTAGTCCTATTCCTCTGGCAATCAATGCAGGTCCTCATCTCATGAACCCACAGGACCCTGTCTTCAGAAGGAGGAAGCAGAGTGAATACGGTTGTGAGGACTTACATGGCATATATACAAATATCTCATTTTCTGGGAACAGGAGGGGCTGTCCTTCAAAGCAGCCATAAGTAACCCAATTTTCTGACATCCACACCCACTCTGGGTCTTCCCATGTCCTAACAAACACTTCAGAGAACTGAACTTTGGGCCACAGCCTGTGGACCATTGCCAGGAACAGTCTCAAAGCCAGAAGGCCACAGGCTTCTCGCCCCTTCGCTGGCCACCTGGCGACTGCCAATGCACTGCCCCTTCTCCCGTGCCCGCTCCTCTGATGTAGGGAAGCACACACTTCTGTGGTGAAAACCTGCTTTTTGAGGGCTGCTGCTTTTCTCTGTAATTTGGGGTTTCATCACCAACTGACACCATCTGCTTTACACCTTCCTCATTAATCTCTAGCACGTTTTAACTATCCTTTTCTTTTTTTCTTAATCTTCTGCCATTTTCATTGGAATTTGAAAGGAAGGCAGACCAACAAAACCCCCAGGCAGTCTTCTCAAAAGTGAAGCCGACCCAGTGCTCTTTCTGCCTAATTTGTAAGGTTTTTCAGAAGTCAGGTATGAACAAAGAAAAGTGTTAAAGATTTACTTAAGAATTAGGTATTAAACCCATTAAGGTCCACAGCTAAATAATCAGCAGATTCCTAAAGACTTCATTTATTTACTTGTTTGGAAAAAATAAACAGTATCCCTTCCCTTACAGTGAGGATAGATTAAAAAAAAAATTATTTGAGAAAGTAACTAGTTCTTTGAAGTTAGAGAATGTATGGCTAGAGAGCAACTATGGAAGGGGGTGAGGGATGTGTTTTAAATAGTGAGGCCTGAGAACAGCAGAATCCTAAAAGAAAGAAGGTTAAAGTCCACAGCTGACTGTTAGCTGGGAAAGCCCAGTGCTGCCGAGTCCGGCTTCTCTCAGCAGCACCTATTACTCAAAGTCCCACTTTCCACACCTCAGAAGAGTAGGAAGAAAGGTCAAAAGCACATGGAATTATGCATCAGTGATAGTGATAAACAGACTCAGGGCCCGGGCAACTGCAAAGTATCAACTGTTAGTCTTAAGCCTTGATCTATGGATTTAAAAAAAAAAAATTAAAGGAAGGAAAAAAAGGTAAAGGAGACTTCTGAAGAGACACTACATACTTGCACAAAACAGTGTAAGTGGTTTTAATAATTTCCATTTGGAGAAAACATGAGTGACATGAAAATACCATTATTTACTTATTTGCCTTTTTAAATGTATCTCTACCAAAACAGTAGAAGATAGGCAGAGAAGAAATTCATAATCTCTTTTTTACAACTAGGAATGAAAACACAAAGAAGGGAAGTCAATGGTCAAGGGTCAAACAGTAAGTAGAAAAACTGACATGAAACTCCAGCATCCCCACTTCTCATGTTACACCTCCTCATCCATGAGGTAGCAGGCTCAGTGCTGCAACGTGCCGGGGACTCTGGGGACGTCCCTGTCCTGTGAGCACCACTGCACTCCTCTGTGTAACTTCCGGCCTTCCGTAAACCCTTCTGTCTTCCAACAATACACTGCAGGGCTTTGACTCCACAGTTTCCCTGCCTGACTTTAACCATTTTTATATATTTGGCACCTATGAAATCTAATACATTAACTTGATAAATTATAATCTAATGAGGAAAACATACTCATTTATTGAAAAGTGTGGAAAGTATAGCTCTCCCAGTTTTCTTTCCCAAGGAATACTGCTTTTCGACTCTTTCATTCACTGTATTATTTTATCAGACAGCAAGGTGGTAACATACACAGATCTAATGAAGACAGGAAATAGGAGATGGCTTCTTCTAACAAAAAACATGTACAGGCCCAGGAATTCCCACAATTATAGGTAAGAGTAACAAGCAACCTCCCAAACCACTAAAAGAAATGCAAAGAGATTGAAACTAAATTTGCAGTATACTTACTTTTATCGATGCTTCCATAAGAATCACTTGAAATTTGTGTTCCAATATGTCTCAACTCTAAAATGTGGGGAAAAAACAGTTAGAAAAGATACTGTATGTCAAAATAGAATTCTTAAGTAAGCATTAACTGAATACTCACCCTTTTCATTTTTCTGTTTAGAAAATTCATCAAGCTTTTCCTGTGAAAACAAAACACGAGCAGTGTTTGCAGTGGATAAAGGAGTGCTAGTTCTAGACGGGATGTAAGAGGGGGCGACCCAGGGGCACTGCTGATTGCCCTCAGCTGGGGGCCTCACGTGTGACTCCTCATGACGAGGACCCACGGGGCTTACAGAGGACCCAAGGAGTCCCGGAGGGAAGATCTGAACATGTGTGGGCACTGCTGTTATCTATTACCTGTGTCTTCCTAAATTCCTTTTCAAGTATTTTCTTTTCATTCCTTAGTTGCTTGAAGTCCTGAGTTTGCTTGACAGCAGCCTCTTTATTTAAAGAGTGCAGTGAAGTAAGAGAGAAAAGTAATTTACCACATTTATAATTACCATTAATGAAGTTCTCAAAATAAACTACTGAGAGCTTTCCTCATTTCTTAAAATTTGAAACAAATTCTGTAAAAAGTTACTGTTCTTTCAGTATTCTATCAGAATCAGGGATAAATGCAGGAACACTTTTGTTTAAACTATTATCTACAAAACTGAAGAATTGGCATATAGGCCCTAAGACTCCTTTCCAATCCTGAAACAAGCCAACCCCGACCCTTTAGTCAGGCAACAAGCCAACGTACAAGATCTTTAGAGGGAGAGGCTGTGGTCCCCTTGTTCTTCAACAATCAGGAACATTCAAGTTTTAGAGATTTAGAACTGTGATTTTATCAAGCAATAGTTAAGACCATTTTCTTCATTTGGGGGAAGGGACAATCTTCTCAATGTTTACTATATTTTTACTCCTTCCTGCCTGGAGTTCCCTTGCATCAAGCCAACTCATTCTAAGTCCCTATATCTTTACATAGATCTACTTTTAAGGTATTTTTATAGCTCTCCTGTGGATCTAGAGCAAATTCTTAACTCGAGTTTTTGGTTCTGAATGGTTCAAATATACTATTAAGAACCTGAGCAGTATTGACTTTATCTGAATATGTTCATATACAATTGCTATGAAAAGTAAAATCCTATAAACACCACAGTAACAATCCTCTCCTGATTCCTCTAACAAACTTGAGTATTTCTTTACCTGATTATTAGCCCTGTCACTTACTAGAAAAATATTTTTGTCACATGGGAAATACACTTTCGCTTCAAAGGAAGTTTGCTGTAAAAGCTTCATATAGTCTCACAGGCATTTTAGATCCCTTTAAAATCTTTCCTTAAATAGACATTATCTCCACACAGTAGCAATAGAAGGTAATACTGAGAGAGAACACAGCGATGTTGTACTTACTGCCACACTCAATGTTTGTGCAACAACCAAATCAGAGGAACACTTGTTAGCAAAACATTTAGAACCTAAGTCTGAAAAATTGGGCTCAATTAAGGCAAGTTAATGACTGGAAATATATTCAGCAACTTCTATTCAAATTCTCACTTCACACTCGAAATGAAAATAAACTGTTCTTCGACAGACTTGCGGTTGCCAATGGGGGCTGGGGGAGGGATGGAGTGGGAGTTTGGGGTTAACAGATGCAAACTATCATATACAGACTGGATACCAACAAAGTGCTACTGTCTAGCACAGGGAAACCATTCAATATCCTGTAGTAAACCATAATGGAAAAGAATATTAAAAAAAAGAATGTTTATATATGTATAACTGAATCACTCTGTACAGCAGAAATTAACTCAACATTGTAAATCAACTATACTTCAATTAAAAAAAAAAAACCCCATTCTCTGAAGCAGAGGACTACAGGAGTGATGACAGGGCAAAGAGCAGGTCCGTGAGCCCCACAGCTACGAGGGCAGCCCCAGCCCACACTGGAGAGAAAGGAGGAGGGGATCAGGGATGGGCTGGCAGGTCACACTTGTCTCTACTTGATGTTATTTCCACGTCACAACCACCCAATAAGGAGGAGAAAACAGAAGAAAAAATCTCGGATTCAATTCCTGAAAGGGCTCTTAGCTGCCACAGGAGGGCTGAGCAGACTCTCGTGTGGCCCTCTGCCTGCTCAGTGTAGACAGAAGGCCCTGAGCAAACGTGGGGTGCCGGGGGCAGGGGGGTGGTGGGCAGGGACACAGTGGAAATTCCCAGTGTAGGGAATCTCACAGAAATCTCTCCATCATGAGTGTGTCACAACCATCCAAATACATCAAGTTTCTCAGTACTAAAAGTAGTATCCTTTTCTACTAACCATTTATTTCGTTAGTAAAAAATGAGACGGCCCCATGAGATTCAACTTTCAAAATTTAAGTCCGTTTCTTGATCGCTGCTTTTTACAGTAAAAGTATGGGCTGTTATTATTTTGAGTGAACACTTCAAGGATATGCCACATTCCATTTCCATGTCTATCCAGTAACTGAGAGAAGTACAGTATTCAACCTTCTTCCTACCAGTACCCTTAATACACTCATCCAGGGATGCACCATCAAAAACAGGACTCAACTACTTGACCAAGTACTACAGCCTTGTACAGTTACCAATCATTCACACAAAGACAATGACTTCCATTAGCTGGACGACAAGAGTGCTAATTACCTTCCAGCTTCTTCACCTTGGCTTCTAGTTTCTTCTTCCTGATAATTGTATAAATTAAAATGGTTAAAAAAAAGTAACTTCACAATTTGTGATATACATGATTTTTTAAATTATTGAGATTTACATAATAAAGAAAATGTTAGTCACAACAAATATAACACATCAATCATTAAAAATACCAGCAACTGTTTTGAAGGTAAACTTCAGAAAGAACAGTATGCTATTTAGTGTGTAATATATGTAAGATGGATTTTTAAAACTCTGCATTTTTGCGGCATATCGTGCCTGTGTGGCTCATCTCTGGGCCAAGCTGACGCGTCCAGGTGGCATCCTGGCCTCAGTCCAGCACCTGACTAGGTGCGGTTGCTTTCAGGAGCACAGGCAGGCAAGGGCCGTACCACCATCTTACAGGAGGCAGTGGCCAGAAAACTGCACTTGTTTTAGGATAGACTTCTGAGGCAGAGAAGGTAGGAAACCCTCTGAGAAAGTCTCTGAATTACTGTGACATCGCATCTACATTAAACTACTGTATGTGTAGCTCACGAGTTTTGTAAACAATGTGAATATAGTATTAAACTTCAAAACAATCAACTGACTTCTCTGGAAGAGCCCCTTTCATTAATGGAACACAGACACCCATACCAGATGATATCTATTAAAGGAATGGTACAAAGAAGTGAGACGATAATCATGTTTTCTCTATGAAAACAAAATACAGACATAAAAGCATGTATGCATATAGACATAAAAACTTTTATGGAGTTCTTTGTGCAGGCCTTTAACATAAGATGGCTTATTTACTCCTATTAATCCTTCAACATAGGTATAATTTCCATTTTACAGATATGGAAACCAAGGTTGTGAGACTAGTTCAAGATCACCCAGTTAATTATGGTCAACATACCCAAAGACAGAGAAAAGAGAAACACTACTGATTTAAGCATTAAACATTTTCAAAGTTGAAAACACTATTTCCACAGTTAATTTCAGAAATACTTACTGAGCATCAGTTTTCAAGCATTCTTCTTTCACACGAGCATATTCCTGATGAGTATCCTGATACAACTTCAGAGAACTCTAAAAAGGAAATAAATGTGTGTGTGTGTGTGTGTGTGTGTGTGTGTGTGTATTTATATATATATGTGTGTATATATATATATATATACACACATATATGTATATCTCAACAATTTGAAAGTCATTGACCACCAGTGACAAGGATTTTGACCCTGATAAGCTAAATTATTATCACTTAATAGTATGAAATTAACCAAATGAATACATATGATTAGGCAGGAAACCAAAGTACAATTCATTGAACATTTTAACAGATATAACCAGATCCTAAACAGAGGTAATATGATAAAACAGTCTAATCAAACAGAGCTATAAAACTTAAAATATACTAATTTTAAAATAACCCCAAATCTTCATAATATCGAATAGCTAATATTTTTGTTGCAGCCAATTAAAATTCAACAAAACCTAAAGAAATTTTAGAGGTAATAAATATAAGCTATTATTACTACTATGCAAAAATATAAAATAAAACATTATACTTAATGATAATTGGGGAAAATATGTTAACACCAATCAATATGTATACCCTATGGACACTATGGAATGGGAAAGAAACATACTGAGCCTGATAACACAGTACAATATAATGTGTATAGCTCTTCGGCCGCCAAAGCTCTGAGAGACGGGCTTTATGACCCTTTTTACAGATGAGGGGTCTGAGGATCCAGACACTGAGTAATTCTTTGAACGTCACAGTGAAAGAGTGACTATTTAGGTTTATTATTCAGCTGTGATTCCAGTGTTCATGTTTCCTCTCAGGTATGGCTGATGACATTACTTTGTAGTCAGAGGTAGACAAAATTCAACATCTTGATTGTTGCTGTTTAATTTTCACCACATAGTTAAATATATAATAATTTCTATAGAAATAGGAAAATCGACCACTGTTTGAGTATGTAAACCTCAGAGAGGTGCATGGCATCCTAAAATGAAACAATCTGAAGACTGGGAGGCACAAATACCATCAGACCGAGGAGCCAGCAATCATTCTGGCTTGGCTACGACTTGCCTAATGCTAACCACCTAACTTCACTGGCTTCAGAGTTTATTTTAATTTGTAAAAGCCATGAATTCTCTTCTAAGGCTCCAATAAAACAAAATTTATATTAAAAATAAGTTTATAGCATCTAAAATAGTTTTACTTAGTGCAACTGGGTTTTGAAATGGAAAACATAATTTCTGTAATTTAAGTTTGAACTTTTGCAGGTTACTTTACACTTACAGCAAGAAAAATGGAAAAGGCAAGCAATGCAGGGCACATAAAGTCATAAAAATTCATAGCTAAAAAGGTTCCTCTACTGAACCTCTCAAAAAGCATAAGCAACTAATACAGCATTACATTAATTACTAATAATTACTGTAAGGACCAAGTCGTCAATCTACTAATTCAATGTTCTCTAAGTATAGCAATACACTTAGAGTCTTGACTATCATTTATGTCCTTTGTTAAGGCATAAAATGTCCCCTTATCCCAATTATAGTAAATAAGTAGATCTTAATTTACTGACGACAACCTTCTGTAGGAAAATTACTTTAGGTACCTTTTTCTCTTCTAACTCTGCTTTTAAAGATCCCAGTTCTTCCTGACACTTCTGCAGAGGAGAAATTTTTTGAAGCATCTGTTCCACTTGGTGATGCAGAGTAATATTCTCTCTAAAAATGGACAATGCATTAACGTTATTATGCAAAAGTATCTACAGTGAATTATTAAATGTATCTACTGGTTTCAATTTTATTTCTACCTAAAAACAAAGAATCTCTCTTTTTAAATGCATTCTATTTGTACCAAAATGATTATGTATCACTTTTTATTTCTGACATGAGTCTATTTCTAATAAAAGTACATCCAAAACCATATGAGAAGCAAGCGCAATAGGCCCTCAATCTGCTGGAGAATACAAGAACACTTGGATGATCTGCCAGGTGATCTGGCTCTTCAATCCTGAGTTCATCACCACTGATTTCAATTCAATGATAGGCAACTGTGTGGTCATTTTATAACCATATTTTGCCTTCTTCTAATTGACAAATGTAATCAGAGTATAAAACATTACTAAATTCTAAGTAAGACTACTTTAAATTGATCAAAATATACAGGATAAACAACCACTTTAAATTATCCAATTCACAGAGACAACAATAACTGATAGCAATAAACTTCATCTCAGTGGCCACAAGATCAGTAAAATTTACTGAAAAATCAAACACTGGGCTGTAATTTAAGACCTCGGTAAGAAATTCATTTGGACAATTTAATAGTAAGGAAAATGTGAATCTTCTTTTATTATAAGCATCAAAGAAACAGTCTACATAATGGGTCAATTCTATGTGGCACTTTGTTGAATCTGTGTAAAAATCTAGTCCGATAAGGGTCTACCCCAAATAGACTAGGAAAACAGGTAGCTAGCTTACCTTCTTGCAAACTGCAGCTGTAAAACTTGTTAAAGAAAACTGTGACAATTTTATCTACTGACGATAAAACAATTTCATCTTGTCTGAAGATAAAACTCACCTTAAAACTCCAATAATCTGTGTTCAGTATACATACAGGCAAAATCATAATTCTTAAAAAACAACAAAGTTCCATCTACAACATATGATAAAGCTTTTTACTGAGTTACTCCTATTAATCATAACATGTGCCATAAGTCAAAATATGTACTTCTATAAATTAAAGAAGATTCTTGATTAACTATACGATTAATATTAAATTCCAAGAATAAAGACAATGCAATAAGCAACTAACGAAAACTACCTTGAATCCTGTATGTATCAGAATACCTAAACATCCTGTCCTTCTTTTCTCAGAGTCCAGAGCTCAACTCCAGCAAATAAGAGTTACATACTTACTAAAACCACGTATATATGTGTGTATATATATTTAATGAATATAAATATTGAATGAATTAAATATATATATATATATATATGTATTTAACGAGCAATGAGAAAAGAAACACAGGGAGAACATAAAATCTGGAAAACCTTTCACTTTTTCAGTCTGCGCAATTTGGTAACTTCATTTCCCATCATGCTGCCAGTAAAATGTTCTAAGACAGCAAAAAGCCATTCCTTTAAGTTTCACCACCTGTCAAATCCTACTCTCATATCACAATATAGAAATGTCTGTTGGTCACAACACATCTGTACCCTCCTCTATTAGAATGTAAACTTCTGAAGATTAAGGAGTTTCACCCTAAATTACTGCAGTCTTTGCAAGAAAGAAAAATTCAAAAAATATCTGATGAAATAAAATATACTCTCTACCCTGTACAAAGAGGAACTAATAAACAACAAAACAGTCAGAATTACACAAAAGAGTAAAGAATCGAGTCACACAAGAAGCCATATTAAACCTACAATGTTGGCACCTCAGGTTGTAGAGCAAACAACTGCATACTTAAGGTACAATGAATACATATTGTGAGCAAAAGTCAGATGTGTTTAAAAAAAAAAATCTATATTTACCTATAGTTGAGGCTGAAGCAGATTAGCACACTGCAGAAGGGAAATTCAAGAATAATCAAAAAGTTTTATCAATTTTTAATAAATTACTCTAACAATTTTGATTTTTTAAATTTTATAAATTTTAGAAAAGTAAATCAATAATTTCCCTGCTAGCTTACATTTGTAATTACCTCAAAAAGTTCATATCATTTTCTCCAAAAAGGATACAATGAACACATATTTTCCTAATATTGGAATTAACTGCCTATTTCCCTATTTAGCTAATTATAAGTGTTTATAATAACTGTTTCTGTACAGCTTTCAAAATCAAAGATATTACTCTTGCAATAACATACATTTATAGTTAAACAGACTGATAATTTCAATAAAGCACAAGAGGAGATTTTCAAAGACCTATTTTTTTGAATGTAAAACTTGAGATACTAAAAATAAATCGAAATGCTGTGCCTTGATTTTATTCCTCTAATCACACAAATTAGATACAATGGTACCAACACAAACAAATAACTGGTGATTACATATAAGTTTAGGAATGCCAGAAATAATATTGAAACAGGCCTCAGGTTACTGCCAGAGTTGAATAGCAGTTATTTGCTCCAATACTGAAGTTAAGGCTGCGGGTCACACGTATGTGTGTTTACTGTCACAGGAGACACTTAATTCAGGTAAGTATCACCAAAAGATGTGGGAGGAATGATTGTGCACACTACTTCCGCCCTGCCAAGAAAATACAGAGGCCTGCAGGTGCTCTAAACGGCTACTGGACAAAACGGTGACACAGAGACCAAGGACTGTCCTGGGGATACAAACTTACACTATGATTTGGGATATATTCATTAATTCTCTACAAGTCACAAAACTAATTAACAAAAGTTAATTTTCCTACATTCTGAATATTCCTACAGTGCACTCCTTATAGAAATCCCAAAATATTCTCATAGCATCATATTCAGCTTCACATTATTCCTAAACCTAAAGAGCACAGGTCATATCCTCAGTATAAATGAAAAAGACCTACTCTTTAAAAAGCTTACAAAACCTTAAGAAAATCAAAATCAAAGACAAAAACAAAACACATTCTATAACAAGGAGGCCAGCAGCCTTGACCATTAATTAAACGTGTGTTATGAGTAGAAGACAGCTGCTCAACTGCGCTTGTCAGGGGCACTTCCTACTTGGAGCCTGTAAGCACCGCTTTCCAAAGAGTAACTATGAAATTTCTCACATTCCTTTACATTCTTAAAAATTCCAACGAAAAAGCCAGTAAAAGGATATCATCACATTTCTTCTGATATTCTGTCAACAAATTACTGTAACAAAGAAAAGAGTTATGTTACTTTTTCAATCTAGAAAACACACTATGTTAAAATCACGTTTCCAAATGTACAAGGCACCTTTCTTCCTAGGTTTCCTGCAACAAATTTATGTTTAATTAATTAAACATATGCACACACATATACATATCACCTTAAATTCCTTAAAAGCACTGCAATGATACATGAGTTTTTAAGTTAAAATTCCTATGATCTAAATAATATCTTTGCCTACAAATTCTTGTAACTTTCACAGGATTAAAAAAACAATCACACCAGGAAATTTACTACAAAGAAATCTGATGTCCAGTCCTAAAGCTAAGAAGGCTTTAAAGACAGAAAACAGCTTTAAAAAAAATTTCCAGTTTAGCAAAAATCATGTTCTAACCGCTGAGCCTTGCTGTAAAGGTCTGAGCACTGGTAACTCCCCAGCGGTCCAGTGGTTAGGACTCTGCGCTCTGGCTGCCGAGGGCCTGGGGCAGGCCCTGAGGAGTTCCATTATAACCCACACCACACAGGCACCAGGTGAGCAACCCCAGTTCCACTCTCAGCCCAAGGGGGTCTAACACCACCACCATCTGCTCCAGCTTGTATGTCAGGTTCACGAACTTCGGCCAAACAGAGGAAAACATACTCACTCTGTATTAATAATTTTTTGTTTCAGGGTAATTAATGCTTCAACATATTCATTTAAATTCTGAAAGAAAAAAAGCTACAGTTAGCTATTTGCTTTTATAATATAAACTACTTTATTATTTTTTCTGTAACATTATAAAATATAAACATACTGTTCACTATATTAAACATGGAAATATGTAAATCTATTATTTATGTTGAGTATAAACCCACAGAGATTCTATGTGACCTTGAGCCCATGCTGCATTTCTCTGAATCTCTTTCTTTACCTGAATGACGTCACTCTAACAGCAAGGCAGTTGTTCTGATGCTCTATGTGTGCTTTTTCACTGCGAGAACTCAATAAATATTCATTACTTTAGTTCACTGATTACTACTGACCATCAGTCTACACTTCACATTATTTCCGAAAGGACTTAATCCAAAAATACACATAAATTATTAAAAACAGCATAAAAATAACATGGGAAAAGCACATAGGAATATTAAAATGGGGCCAAGATTAAGTGAAACTTCTTTTTATAAGGATCTATGTTACACTTTAGGGACAAACTGCAAATGTGGCTCTAAATTACTGTTATCAACTTGACAGAAAAAAAACATTAGTTACACTGTTCAAAATGTTCCTAAAATTTAAAACTGAACAGATTTTCTTTTCTTTAAGTGACTTTTTCCTTTAATGTCTCCTTTTTTCACTGATAAACTTCAGAAGTAAGAACTTATTTTTCATTAATTATCTCCAAAACATCTTTTTCTATCTAGGTAATCTAATTTTCAGAATTACAGAACTATTTTCCTTCATGCTAATATATGCATTTTCTTTGCCGTCATACATGTAACATATTTACTAAAATAAAAAAATCTACACATTAAAATATATAAAGTAAAAAGTATATGTTATCTCATAATCACAACACCTGTCAAAAATCACTGTTACTTTTTGTATATATTCTTTCAGAACTATCACTATATATTTAAAATACGTCTGGATGTACTCAATCCACGAATTCTCCACTGAAAGCCAGTTAGGTCCTTTTCAGTCTTTACTAACAACAGGCAATGTATTTCCTTGCCCAGTTCTCTGGGAGACACTTCTAGTTTCCCCTAGGATAAAGTCCAAATAGGTTCCCTGCATTAGTGATAGCTGGGAGCTTTGATAATCTCAGAGACATATTTTTCATTTATATTTCTTTATGCGTGATACTGAGAAATCTTCCTTATCTCCTCATCATTTTTCTTTTAGTAAGAAAAACGGTCCCTTATATCATTTGCTCATTGGTGTGGTTGCACTTTTCTTATGAGCTGCAATATATGAGGAACAGTAACATCTGGTCCAAAAGTTACAAATATATACATGTGTATGTTTCTCAATTGATCATTAAAATACAACTATATATGAATACAGTAGTTTCAAATATTCACTTAGTTGAATTTGTCATTTTTCTTAAATTTTGGTTTCCTAATATATTTAGAAGGCTCTACCCCACCTAAGATGCTAAATCATAAGGAGTCTTCCACATGTTTTTCTAGTACTTTTATGCCCTTTCTTCCTATTTCTATCTTTATTCTAGAATTGATTCTTGGATACAGTAGAGACTCTGAACATTATAAATCAAAGGGCAATGAATGGACTATTCAATAACTTTAGTGTATTTGGCTTTCCACATTAAAAAAAAATCTTTCATTATGTAAAAAATAAATTCTACACGGCAGATTTCTAGGCAGAGAGGGTAAATAATGCATCTGCTTTTACTCCCTCCCTAAAACCAGCTAAAACTGAAGTCAAGGGATTTCTTTTCCCAAAAGGCCAAACCCACAAGGATGAGAAGCGGATAAAAGACAAAGGAACACAGGAAAGCTGACTTGAGAATACAGATTTAGCAGACCCAGGAGAGGCAGGCAGGGCGAGGGTGGGGGGCAAACCACTCAATTCTCAGTTTACACTACAAAACTTCAACAAGCACGGAGGGGCTAGGGTCCTCAGGAAGGTTGGACGGGGGTCACTAAGAAGATAACTAGTTGCAAGCTTCCTGGTAAGCATGAACCCTCAAATCCCCACTCTGCTCTGCTACCAGGAAACTGCCCCACCCCCAGCCAGCAGGAGGAGGTCTGCTTTTTGAAGAAGCCTCTGCCTAGAACACTGTGAACACTTGGGGCAGGTGGAATGCACCAAAAACAGAGGGACCAGGTACATCTAAGCACACTGCGCTGATACTGACCGCCTGCTTCTCCCCATTAAGCTCCCAGACAGTGGCAGCCAATCCTTTTGCCCTCCAGGCAGGAGACTAGAAGCCGTTTCTCTGAGAAAATCTAACCAGCCTGGAGACAAGATCTAAAGTAGCAACATGAGATATTCTTCAGTCAAGAAGTGGCCCACCCAGACCTACTGCAATGAAGCTCAGGGTCCAAAAACCCACAACACTCAGCATTGCCAGCCACCGCTCTATTAGCTACCGCTCTTAATATGAACAATCAATCAAAGATTTCCAAACATCAGACAGGAACCTGTAATATGAAAGAGAGACCAAAACAAAATGAACCAAAGCAACTTGCAGTAGACAAAAACTGAGAAACCTTTAAAGGTACTAATTAACATGACCTGAGATAAATGATGTTATTTTCATAAAACAAGAACAAGCAGCTATTTTTAAAAGGAATACTCAGAGTTCTTAGAAGTTTTTCAAAAAGTTTTTAAAAATTAAAAACAAACACCCACTAGGATGGCTGAAATCAAAATGACAGACAATAACAAGTGCTGGTGAGGATTCAGAGCAACTGGAGCCCTCATAGCATTGCTGGTGGAACAGGAAATGTGCAGCTGCTGTGGAAATAATTTGACACTCCTCAAAATGCTCAACAGTTAATTAGATGATTTAGCAATTCCATTCCTAGGTATATGCCCAGGAGAACTGAAAACATGCCCATGTCACATTTGTACACTCTTATTTAAAGGAGCATTTATTCACACTAGCCAAAAAGTGGAAATGCGACTGATAAATGGATGAACCATCACCTGATGAATGAATAAATGAAATGTGGTACAGCCATGCAATGTGAATATCTGACAATGAACTGGAATGAATGGCACATGCTACAATGTGGATGAACCTTGAAAACCTGCTCAGTGAAAGAAGCCAGTCACAAAAGGCTATACGCCGTATGATTCCATTCATATGAATTGTCCATAATAAGCAAATCCAGAGAGACAGAAAGTAGCCTAGTGATAGCCAGGGACTTGCAGGCTGGGGAAGGGGGATGTCTGCTGATGCTTAAGAGGTTTCTTGGCAGGGGCACGGGGCAGGGTAAACATGTTTTACAAGTGGCGACCAGGTTGTGTAACTGTGAATATGCTAAAAACCACCTAACTGTACATATTAAAAGGATGAACTTTATGGTATGTGAATTACACTTCAATAAAACTGTTATAACTAAATTAAAAACAGGGAAGCAAAATAAAAGACTCAGAAGATTTGATGATAAAGCTGAAAAAATGTCCTCCAAAATTTAAACACAAACAAACAAAACACAGATGTAGGAAAGAATGAAGAAAAAATAAAAATCAGACTGTCAGTGCAAGAAGTCTCACATGCCCAACAAGAGTTCCAGTAAGAGAAGAATGGAAAAATGGAGAGATCATTGAAGAAATACTGATATTCAAGAAGAAAAAAACCAAGAACTGAAGCCAGAAGTTTCTAAATTGAAAGGGCCCAGCACATCAATACAAACTGGATACAAACCATGAAACATAAGCACAAAATTTCAGAGCATCAGAGACAAAACAAAGATCCTATGAGAATGACAGAAAAAAATCAAAATGAAACAAGTCATGTACAAAGAACCTGGAATCAGAATGACTTTAGACTTCAACTATCATCTAGAGACCTAGAAAGCAAGCCTTCAAAATTTTAAGGGAAAATGAATTCCAAGGTAAAATTCTGCACAAGCTATCAGCCAGTCATGATGGCAAAACAGACATTCTCAAACCTGGAGTCTCCACAAACTCACTTCCCAGACACCCTTGCTCAGGGAGGTGCCAAAGGATGTGGACACACTCCACCCAAATCCTGGAGTAAACTGAGAAAGGATGAGGTGGGCGCAGAACAGAGGTAAAGAGAATCCAGAAAAGCCGCTGCACACCAGACTGGAGCAGCTCTAAAGGCCCAGAAGGGGATTTTTTTCCCTTAAGAACAAAACGACAGAATTATCTGGTGGAATGAAGGCATTAAGATGATATTTCTACCTCACTGGCAGAGAACTGCAAGCGCCACGTAGCATCATCACGCATTTAAATGGATTTTTTTTTTTTTTTTTTTTTTTTTTTTTGCGGTACGCGGGCCTCTCACTGTTGTGGCCTCTCCCGTTGCGGAGCACAGGCTCCGGACGCGCAGGCTCAGAGGCCACAGCTCACGGGCCCAGCCGCTCCACGGCCTGTGGGATCTTCCCGGACCGGGGCACGAACCCAGTCCGTGCAGGCGGACTCTCAACCACTGCGCCACCAGGGAAGCCCTAAATGGATTCTTTTTTAAATAACCTCCTTCTTTTCCCATTCTCTTTCGAGTTCTCTGCTAGTCAATCTCATCTTCCCAGGCTTGCTTCCAGATGCCATTCTGTAATGTCAAGAACTGTGCCAGAGACGTTCCAGAAACCTCAGGCTCTAGAGGTAAGACACAGCTGGATTCAAATTCCTGTTCCACCACTTCCTGGAAGGGTGCCTTGGGCAAACTGACTTAACTTACCCCTGCCTCAGTACTATTTCCAATGTTATAGATAAGGAGACTGAAACTGGTTTGGGTGTGTGTTTCGGGGGTAGGGGGTTACCTAACTGGCTTGCTATCAGGGTTAAACAGAATGAGCCATATGAAGTGTTTAACAGTCTCTGACACATAGTGAACACTCCTTAGCATTTTCAAGATGAAAACACTGAATTAAGGAAATAGTCATTAATCGGGGAAACAAGAAAACACACAGGTAAGGAAAAATCATCCTAAGTTACTCCATAGTTTGGCTCTGAAAAACAAATGGTCATAATGATGTCAACTCCGAATAGTGACCTAAGGGAAA